GCGCCAATGTGTAGACATTCTCACCGTATGGCTTTATATTTATTGACTACTCGTAGAGCAAGCAAAGCAAGGCAAAATGTCAACCACCTTTGTGCGTGTCACGTACGATCATTACTTGTGCATCATAGCTCGGAGACATGCAGCTTGCTCAATATCCACCCTCCCCTCATCTTCAGTTATTCAATAACAATAGATATTGTTAAAACATGAAAGACTAAATTCTGCAACATTTTGCTGCTATATTGAACAAACATAATACTGTATTGATGAACCCATGATTTGACATCTCTAATAAGTAATCTAAACATAAACAGTGCTAATTACCTGACACAATTGCACAATTGTGGCCGGATGTTTGGAGAAGCATTCGTGATTTGTATAGAATTACCTTTTCATTCTTGGCATTCAAAATACAAACTAATAATTCACTTTTTTATGTATTCAGTTTTAATTTCAAATAATAAGCTTATTCATAGGATTAAATCTGAATGACATTCTGGTGATTTAAGAATTGTATTAATCTTGGACCCCCTCCCGACATAATATCTCTTTAATAATCTGCAATCAAGAAATTGATAGACAATATTTAATCAGATAAATGGCTTATTTAGTTGTTAAGATTACTGATAAAGTGTTTGTTGGAACCCTTTAGGTTATTTAATAAGTGTGTAGGCCTTGATATATATCTTATCTATTTAGGGATTCAGCAAGGGATTATTGGTCAAATGTATTTTCCTCGCTAATGCCTAGGTCACATTTGCTGCGATTCATCGGCCCGGTTGAGTATTTTGTTCCAAACTGAAATATGTGTTGCAATCAAATGTTTCGAAAGCCATTTACCATGATTTAAACAAAACATCATTAAAGCTCTTTTTCAGACATTCAATCAATTTAAATCAAATAAGTTTAAATGCGATCTCGCATATATTGCATACATGTATTTGCAGATGTAGTGATTGTATCTTACTCACATTTTCACATAATAATAGCTGTCATTTGACATGTAATATTGAGTTTTCAATATTTTGATACATTTGTTTATTATTTTGCGATCATTAAAGCTTTAATCGGGGATAAAGATTTTGAATAAGCACACGTATATTACGTATTACAAGTCAAAAACCTTTTTTACTTTACATCATAATTTACTAGGAACCCAGATGCTAGAAGAAGCAGTAGAAAAAACTCACATCAAATAAGCTAGATGTAATTATAATATTGAAAGGGTTATTGGTATTAAAAATCTCAATATTTTATTTCAACAAATGCCTTGATCTCAGGTATTACTTTCCAATGGATTTAAAAATCACCCCACTAATTATAATTAAGTAACACCATTGAACACAAGCCGTCTGATTGCATTACTTGCTAAAATAACATCCTTAGAAGTGAACAATACAAACATCTGATAATAATCTAGCTAAGCCCCCCCCCCCGTGGTATCCATGCCTGCCTTGTTATATTCTTAAAGATGTTGAACTACCTTTTGTATTCCTTCAGAGATAATCGGTTAATTTCTGAATTTAACAGAAATTTAATTAAACAATGTAGCACGGGGACTATACAATCATTACATACATGTAAACTTACCTTGCAAAATAATTTTATACGGAAATTAGAACCACCGGCTGTAGAAATTAATCCATATAATAACTATAACAAACGGATTAATATTAGTGAGAACTTAACTCATTTGCAAGAATTAAATAATAAGGGATTAAAGTTTTGTATATTGCTCCTGCTGGCATGTCAAAAGGTATTTTTTGTAAGTTTGCTCTACCATGCACAAAACTTATTAATTGATCTGCCAAATGAAACAGTTGCAATAAATGTGCCCGTTTCTTTATCTTTATTATCAAATTATCAACTGAGCATACCGAATCTTTCAAATTTCGTGAATATATTTGGAAATGAGAAACAAACCAAGACCCAATTCGAAATAGAAACAAGGCTATCTCTGATAAAATGCATAACAGAAAACATGTATTGTGAAATATAGTGTTTGCAAGTTTAACTCACCTCAATAATGTATGTCCCCTAATATCTTATTACACGATTGAGAAGAGACTGGGGCAATTCATCATATTACAGGCTCGTTGCCAGCTTTCGCCTTGGGAGAGGGGGGGGGGGCTCACGTACTTTCAAAAAAGTTCATATTAAACGCAATTGATATTTCATGCAAAGATCATGTAGAATATAGATTTTAGTGTCAAGGTTATCTCATTTGATTTCACAAAATGGCTAACCTTATAATCACTATTTGAACCAGGGGCAGAGTCAGCAATTGTTCATGGGGTGAGATTTCTTGGGTTTGCATCAATGCGAACGAAGCGAGGCCAGGAATGGCGTTTACCCCCGGAATTTCTGGATGTCAATGTCAATGTTTTTTTCATATTGCAAAATTGCTTTTTTTCTTTTTGAGAGGGTGGGGAATGCAAGCGCATATGTCACCCCCCCCGCCTTGGCTACGCCCATGCGAACCTACACCCAGCCGTAAACAGGTATGGGAATTATGTTATAATGATCATGACATAGATAATGAGACGGAATGTAGCCTGTATAACTGTTGATTCCCGGGTTTTGTCTCTTCCTTCTCATATTATAAAATTATCAAAAAATGATATTTTAATTCACAAAACTGCCCGAAACATAGAAAAGTACACGAATGCAACCGCATTTACAATCCATAGTTCTGAAAAAGCAGGATTAAAAAAGCCAGTTTCCAACTGAAGTTAAAAAGCCGGTTTTTTGATACCCAGTTTGTAAAATTCAAATAAGAATACTATCTTTATTTTCTATTTAAACTTAAATCAATTTATTTTAAACAAACTATCCGGGCAAAGTATGACCAAGCATCGGGAATAGAAAACTCATGTAAATGAGTTATATAAGACAATGAAATCAACACTGATTGAACATAAACACTATGAAATCTTCTTTCGATTCCATTACCTGTTATAATTTTTTTAAATACCGACTTTACCGGGAGGAATTTAACATGGGCTTTAATTCAAAGGCAAGAATGTGTTTTGATAACTTATTAAGCGGATTAAAAGCTGTTGGACGTTTCTCCAGTGATTTATATTTTATGATTCTGAATGGATGTGTGGATTATAATTGAACTCGAAAACATGACCAAAAGAGTCTAGACTTCCATTTGCTTTGATCATGAGGAATTGGAAACAATCAAAGCGGCGATTTGAAAAAGTAAAAAATTGAATTCCCGTGCATAATCCAAGATTTAATACAAACGGTGTTAACAGGTAAATAATAATACCTTCTCAGGAATTATTAGGTTGCATTGACTCTGAAAGTAGAGATAACAAGTTCAGCGGTGTAGCCAGCTTTCCGTCGGGGAGGGGGGGGGGCGATATCCATACAAAACACGTGTTTGCACAAGCTATTTGTATTAGCAACTTTTGATAACTACAAGGAAGATCTCCCTTTTCTGGCGCGACTGTAAAGGTGTCCAAAATCATAATTATAATAAAAATAGATCATTTCAAAATCCATCTAGTTGCAATGCTTATTATACACAGGTAAAGTCATATTCATTAAGAACTACGGACGGTACTTACATTCTTTTGTTGTATTGTTTTATCATGCTTAAAAGAAAAATACGTACAAATAGTCTGTTTTTTATTTGTATGCTCAGTTATAAAATGAGCAGTGAAATTTAGAAATAGCTTAATATAGTCAGAAAGATGCAATTATAATGTGTGACTATATTGCACACTTACAAAGTATTGCGTTCTCACATATAATCAGTGCTTATTTGTGCTGTTCTACAAATAAAGAGGAGCAATACCTGAATATAAAGAGTGTTCCATATATGCAGCGAATATTGTCTCTGTAATGTCTCTGTTTATATGTGCTGAGTATTTTTGCTGATTACTGCTGATTACAAGAGATTCTTACAAATATACACTTCTTATAACCAAGCAATATTCTCTATTTTATACAGTGACATTTAAAGGGATACTATAACTTTAGTATTACATAATTATATGACAGGGTCACATTTGCTGCGATTCATCGACCGGCGCCCGGCCGATTGAGTATTTTGTTCAAAATTGAATACATTTCTGAACAAAATACTCAATCGGCCGGACGCCGTTGTGAAAATCGATCGTAGCAAATGTGACAAAGGCATTACATAACCTGTGAGGAAAATACATATTATATTGATGAAAATATAACTTGACTACATTTCCAATGCCTCCAAATTTTCCCAATTTTTTCCTCAATTACAATAGATCGAAAATTTGATGGATTTTTGAAAATTGTCATTCACATGTAAACGAATGGGAATGATGGGTTCGAGGCAAATCTGGTTTCAGGACATCTATCCATAAAAGATTCGCCTAAAAATATTTTGATATAGAAAATTGAATTGACTATCTTTTTTGTACGGTCATTTTGAAAGTCATTTTTCGCCTCCTTTGTTATTTCAAAAATAATTTTGACCTTAAATGGATGGGTGGATGGGCGGATGGGCGGGCGGACGGATGGACGGACGGACGGACGGATGGATGGGATATTATAAGTTTTTTCCTCACAAGTTATGTAAATAAAAATTCAAACATAAAGAGGCTTAAACACGTAGTTCAAAGAGGGAGCTAAGGTTGCCAAACTTTTGGGGTGGAGTGTATGTGTCCGGGTCATCTTCTCAATCGGCACACAGCGGGTCATCTTGTGTTGACAAAGGGCGTTTTGGAAATTTGTCGCAGTGACTTATGTCTGAAGTTTGCAATTGTGAGCAAAAGGCGAGCAATTTGTGATAGTGATATCCATTTGTAATGGTGAGTGATAGTGTGATAGTGATGTCCATTTGTACAACCTTTTGCCAAAATTGTACATGTGTACATGTTGATAGAGAGAATTGTTAAATTTGCAGTTGGCGGACACCTTCAAATGAATGGATTGACGATACAATTGACAGGGTCGGATTTTCACAAAGAACTCCGCAATAGATCCACAGAAATGTTTCAAGATTTAGCATGGAGCGTCGATTGGTTCATATGCGAAGCGGTAAACAATCTTTAAATTCAATGATTGCACCCATCTTTATGTAAAGTTTAATTAATTTGAAACATTATCTTATATTTATGCCAGGATACTTTGAGATTGTTGCTTGTATATCGATCTTAACATGTCCACTCTGTTTATTCTGTTTTAGCGATATTGGAGAATATATACTTGTTATCTCAATGCTTGTTATGTTAGGAAATTCATGTAAGTGCACTGCTAATGTCAATATGTCTTTAATTTATCAAAAATAATGCAATAACATTCATTTTATCAATCTTTTTCCCATTCCTCTATACTTGTATAGAAATTGAAACCAGTTCAATATTTTTTAATCAGGAATGGAAGCATTATAGTTGAATTTGACCTGGAATATAATGCATGTGCTAACATGTCACAAGGAATACAATTCCTCAAAGACCATGTTTTCGAAGTAATACAACATATGGGAAACGATTTCCTAATTTCTGATATCAATGGTTCGACGATTAACTTCACGATTAATAGTGCGTATATCCGAGAGGTTACATCAAGACAGATTCAAATGGGTAACTGAATACAATTACTTGTATACTCCATTTTAAAACGATGACAATATAATAGAGAGAGTTCGCAACTCACTTATAGCATGTTCATTATACCCGTATAACGTATAATTTATGAAGTGTTTGATTACTTTATCATTTATTTTGCAGCTCTATATATCCATAAGTGTGATATTTTTTTGATAGACGACGACTTTTTAAGAATATCGTGGACGTTTAAACCTGCGCAAAAAGTGATGACGTAATCAAACGCTTCATAAGTTAGACGTTATACAAGAATAAAAACATGCTATAAGTGAGTTGCGAAATCTATCTAATATCTTATAATATAACGTTGATCATCGATTCATTGACTTTTTGTTTAAATAATGTAAATCTTACAGTCCAAATTAATGTTATAGTCAGTTTGTGCAATAACAAAGGAAACCTCCTCCGATGCGACCATGGACACAGATGTCACGAACACAACGGCGTCCCTGGTTGTTATAGTTTGTGTCAACCTACACCTTATGGCATATGGACTCCTGAGAGTTGTAATGAAGGAACTTGTTCTTTAAGTGACGCCACTGACCCCTCTGCAAATGCAACTACTATTTGCAAGTATGAATGACACTGAAAAAATTTGTTCTCGACAAAGCTAATGTTTGATCATTTCAGCAGCTCTGTCGACGGTCAATGAAACTGTAGCTGAACATTTTTTGCTGTCGTCGAAATGATGTGGTTTCCGTCTTGATATACGTTATAATATACGATCACTAGAAAATATATTCATTAATATTGTTTACCAATTTGACTAAGTAGGCGAACATGGCACGTCGTTATGGTGAAACATGGATCCATCTTGGTTAGATATTTCCTCCACTGCTAATGTTATAGGTGCAATGATGGTTTCTTCCTACAAGGTGGCGAGTGCAAGTCACATGCTCAGACAGTTGCTATTGTTGCTGGCTGTTTAGGTTCCTCCGTTCTGATATTAATCATCATTGTAATTGTTTGCACTGTCAAGCAAAGGTCGACACCGGTGCCAAAAGCTTCTGAAAATATCGAAATGATGCCAAACAATGAAGCAAACAATGGGAAACACGACAAAGAGGTAAGTTGAAATATGATACAATGAGTGACAAATCACGAAAAGATCGAGGATTCAAATTATAGTGTATCACGCAAATAGAGGATATTTAATGGGAGGTTTTTGATACAGGGTATATCTGAGAGCAATACAATATATCTTCCCGAGGGACCGAGGGTTGATATATTGTATTTACCGAGGGATAAGTATGCATATAAGTATGCATTAAATGTTAGGGAACCCTAATGTAATAATTACATACGATAATTACAATCAAAACATGAATAGTTTATCTCAATTTAAAGTCCTCGTCAATTCTTGTTTTTTAAAACTCAACAGTTTTTACATTTAACAGTGTCACAGGCTGGTATCGAAAGATTTGTCCGCTGTGACGGAGCATGCTATTTTTCATAAAAACACTAAGAATACTTCACGATTTATTTTTTAACTCATATGTTTCGTTATACCATACACAATCACTTACTCCATGCAATGGATATATCATTTGTGGGTAACTTTTACTTCTGTTTGAAGTCCAATTACGCTTGGAAGAAAAGCTATTGAAAATGGCGCCGGAGTATCATACTTCAAAATGTACCATTTCTTGTTTAACTTTCTAATGGCACGTTATAGTGACGCGATAATATTTACACATGGTTTCAGCATAACTATGGAGGTATAAATGAGATATTGATGTATTTGGTCTTTTTAATTCTTTTATAAAAAATAATGTTTAATTTTTTTGTCCGCTGTGACGGAGCAGTTGCAAATGTGAACTGTGAAAATGCTCCGTCACAGCGGACAAAGAATATTAATATTATTTTTTATAAAAAAATTAAAAAGACCCAATGCATTAATATCTCATTAATACATTCAGAGTTATGCTGAAAACATATGGTAATATTATCGTGTCACTATATCATGCCATTAAAAAGTTAAAAAAGAAATGGTACATTTTAGAGTTTGATACTCTGGCGCCGTTTTCAATAGATTTTACTCCTAGCGTTATTGGACTTCAAACAGAAGTGAAGGTTACACGCAAATGATATATACATTGCATGGAGTAAGTAATTATCTTTGATATAACGAAACATATGAGTTAAAAAATAAATCGTGAAGCATTCTTAGTGTTTTTATGAAAAATAGCATGCTCCGTCACAGCGGACAAATCTTTCGATACCAGCCTGTGAGTGTAGGAAATTAATATTTATCAAATAGAGTCAAAGTATATCCCGGGAAATCAAAAAAGCACCGAACGAAATTCCTGGGGATTGCTGATGAGCGGGTAATATATATATATATCCCGCTCACTTCTGCGGGAGATATATATATCACCCGCTCACCTCAGATATCGATTATATACCCGCATGGTATTTCCCTATAACAATACTAAGTATGGGTTAAAATGCATTACGACTGCAAGATTGTGGAAATAAAAGGCATGCTCAAGGCAGTCCCAACTCATCGATTGTACTGGTAGTCAGGATGAGCTTGGGCGCGTTATCCCCAAAAAAATATTCATCCGTCCCAGTCGTATATTTGCTGTTGCTTGGTTACTCAGAAAATAAAATAACCAACTAGAATAGTGTGTTTGCCACCATATATGATACTACATCGACGTTAGAATAGCAACATGAAACAAATTGGAAGTATTTTGAAAAAAACATTGATATCTATTTAAGTTTTCAAGTTATTGTAATTAAATCAAGATATAATGAAACATTTATATATTTACAGGTCTCTTTGTGCTTTGACAACAAGGCACTCTCTCATGAAGAACATAGGATAAATGATGAAATGAAAACGAAATACAAACTTAGTGACAGTCTCAGAGTCAGACTTGAGAAAGAACACGGGAACTTCTTCCCGCCCCCGTTCATGGACGGTGATGAAAGAAACTAAGCGAATTGCAATAATCCTATCGCCTGTAATGATGGAAAGGGATGTGTTAAGACGATGTTCATACAAGTATTCGATTAAGAGTATTCAAACTTAATAATGTTATATAGACACAATGTAATTTCAAGGCTCAAAATCCATTGAAAAACTCTGCCATTAAAACAACAAAACGAAACATTGTTCCCCAGGCCAACATGTATTATCAGATTAAATTTGAAGTTGAGTAACATTATGTTAAGATATTTTTATGTTTTTTGAAAACCTAATGTCAACTATGTATTGTTTCCCCTTATCTTATCTTTGAAAATGTGTGAATCAATCCCTTTTTATGTTCCCACCACATAGTATGGGGCCATATTTTCTATCCGTCCGTCTGTCTGTCCCTCTGACAGTTTTCTCCAAAACCGCTTCAGATATCACATTCAAATTGCCCGGGATGAGTGCATAGATCTGTGGATAAAAAAGGTTCTACTCAAATTCAACTTCCTGTCAGCTATTTTGAAGTAAAATGCTAAAAACCTTGTCTGCAAACCCTGAGAATGTATCAGGTGTCCCAAGCCTAAGTTACAGTTAACTGTAGTTCCTCTTTTAACCACTTAAAAGGAAAATATGTTTCAAGTAGGATGAAATGGAAAACAATATTTCCCATGTTATTTTCCCAGCAGGAAATCTCATGCGATCCATTATTTTCAGCTAATTTTGGTCATTCAGAATTGATATCTTTGAAATCCGTGCTAGAAACATATTTTCCTTTTAAGAGGTTAACTGTGTCTACAAATGCAACACATTGATGCGTACAAGGGCCGATCAAAAGGTTTCTTACCGTTGGCTCTAGATTTTATAATAGGAGAAGTTGGATGCTCAAACTTTTACACGTGACAGGGTAATACGTTTGCCTTAAACATTTTGATTTCATATAAATTAGTCCATTGGTAGTGATTCCGAGTCAATACACATTTTCAATGATTAAATTTGGTGGAGCAAAAATGCACTAAACAGCAGTTTTGGAAATGAGTGGTATCGATGTTTTTCTCTTAAACCAATCATTGAAAACATTCTGTAAAAACACGGTATTTTATGTAATGTTGACTGATTGACAACAATTTAATGCGAAAATTATTTAGAAATATTTTATATAACTTTTTTTGTTAACTTTTTTAGTGCAATTGTTTTTGCTCCTTTCTATCAATTCTTGAGAATGGAATAAAATGTAACATGTTTTAAGACTTCTCAATATTATAGTTATACAAAGGAATTTTTGGTTTATTTTAAAAAAAGTATTCAAAAAATTAAAACAAAATCCCCTCCCCCAAAAAATACAGGGTGTTCAAAAAACGCAACCCAAAGAAATCGCTATATCTTGGAAAATACTTGTCAAATTGTGTTCATTTTTAGGAGAGAAAGAAGAGACTGTGTATGTATAGCTCATGTTGCTAGTTAGTTGTAAAACATGATGCCTTGGACAACTGCTCAAAAGACTTCGGTATTAGAAAGATACGAAAAACGCAGTCAGAGACGACTGCCACAGCAATAAAACCAAATAACTTTCTAACCCATAGTGTTTTGGCTATTCAAATTTAGCACAAACCATCTTCATTCAATGTATGATAAATCTGTAGAGTGAAATCAAAATCACGCCAGGGACTTTACAGTTTTGATCGAAATGTTTTCAAAACTCAGTCAAACACCCTGGTTCAGCCAGACTTAAGAAGGCATTTTGACCATGACTGTGAAGTCCCTGGAGTGATTTTAATGAAACTCCCCTAATTCACTACACATCATATGAAGATAATTTGTGTCGAATCTGAAGTGCCAAAACACCATGGTTAGAAAGTTATTAGGGTTTATTGCTCTGGCAGTCACCCCTGACCGCGTTTTTCCTATCTTTCTAATACTAATGTCTTTTGAGCAGGTGTCCAAGGCATCATGTTTTAAAACTAACTAAAAACAGGGGCTATACACACACAGTCTCTTCTTTCTTTCCTGAAAAATGAACACAATTGGATAAGTATTTCCCAAGATATATCGATTTCTTTGGGTTGCGTTTTTTTAACACCCTGTAGATAAAAATCAAGATAAACCTTTTATTTCATTAACAAGATACTTTTTATAATCAACCAAAATTTCCTTTGTACAATTACAATATTGAGAGACCTAAACATGTTGTGTTTATGTCGTTTTATTCCAATGAGGTTCGGAAAGATGTTTCATTTCACTCTGGAAACATGAACAAAAAAGTGTTTGATGTGTTTGACAATATAAATGTAAGTATCCATATATTTTTCAAATTATATTGTTACCATTCAAAAGATGACCATACAATTGACGATGTGATAATTTTTTTTATATTTTTCTTATAACTGGTTTAAGAGGAACGTGTGTTCAAAAAGTTCTCCATATCGATACCACTCCTTTCTAGCACTAAGTAGTGTCATCTGTCAACAGACTGTAGTAGTAATCATGTTTAAGTAGTTTTTATGCTAATATTCATTCTCCTTCAAAGTATTCAACCTCAGTTGCAATATACTTCCTATATCTGTCCAGCCAATCCAAAACACATGTTAAAGCCCTTTGTATGAGAGGTTGTAAACGATGTCGGTAAAGAACGAATGGCTATAGACACCCCTGGGGTCACTTAACATTTTCTGAAAAATGCAATATCGTTATCATCCTTGATATGTAGGATCAAATTGTAGATAAATATGTTTATTTCCAAGAAATAGCAATAAAAGGCATTCAAGATTATAGATATTAGTATATTTTGGTTGATTCGGGGGGTATCTATCACTTCCTGTGGAAATGTGAATTTTTTATCTATCTCAGAAAATGTCTCCAGAATGTATAAATCCAACTTGGCAGATGTCCCATTGTTTGATTGTGTCACTCTATACACTCATTGGATTAATATTTTGTACATATAAATAGTCATATTTCAATAGTCATTGAGTAGGGATTCGTTATGTTTGCATTTGTGTTGACCTACTTATTTTTAGAGAGAGGAAGGTCATGATAAACTCTTGCTTTGTTCATATAACGCCTGGTTCTTAAAAAGTTTAATGTAGTAAGAAAATAGTGTACTTCTAAGGTACTTCTTGATATATTTAAAAATCTAGATTAGGACCAGGCGTGTGCAAAAATGGAACTTTTCTGCTATTTTCAGCATGAAATAAAATGACGTCAGCCATTTTGAAAATCCTTAGAATGATTGTGACAGTTGTGTTTTATATATTTGAGTATATTTTCTTTATTCATATGATCTTTTCATGAACTAATATGTATGCTTGCACTGGAGCATGACCTCTTGAGAAGCATATATCTTTACCATGGCTCTAAGCAACATAATAACATGCAATTCCTTTCAATACATTCATATGAGATGATTGTTGTACAATCATTATATCTTCATGTGACAGGCGTAATTTTTGTCAATTAATAATTTTTTATATTATCAGATTTCACTTGCTGATCATACCAATGTTCATATTTAGAAATCCAGCTCAACTTTATTGTGCAGAATAAATATACTGTAAGTCACAATCAATAGGTGGGAAAAGGACATTTGCTAATAAAATGCCCAAAGCAAAGGGAACTGTATGGGTGAACTGCAATCTGCCAGTACCCCCTGTATGGAGGCAGATGGTTACACCTAACACCCCAGTCACATTTGTCGAACGGCGGCCGTTAGTCGACCGCAGATCTATTAAATCGGTGAATTTCTGCGACGAGCGTAGAAAAACTACGCTCGCCTTGCGGCCTCCGTATGGCGTATGCAGCTTTTTACAGGCCGCAGGGAAGGCGTATAAATTACAACTCGGACTTATAATATTTTTCATTTCTGCGGTCCCCGTAGAAAGCAACAGGCAGTTGCCACACCGCAGAAAGGTCCTACGGTGGCCGCAAGTCGGGTTTACCGTTGGCTTGCGTCTGCTTTAGGTTTGATGGGTAATGTACTTTTTGAAACAGTTTTTAAGCCAGTTTTCGGTCATATATTTGCTGTAAACACAATACAATACGTATACTTTTTGATGTAAGGTAACTGATACCACAGCAATTTATATTTCACTTGCACTTTTTATTCGGTACTTTATCCTAACACTGCAAACAACATTTATATGTTGTACTCATGTAAATAAAATAAAAATAAGAATTAACGTAAAATCAACAGAAATTCAAAAACTCGCCGTGCAGCTGCCGTAGGAAATGTGACTGCAAAAGTATCCAACCGCAGAAATTCCACGGCGGGGGTAGAAATGTTACTGGCTGCAGAAATGATAGAACCCGTAGGAAATGTGACTGGGGTGTAAAGCACAGTGAACTCTCTTGAGATCAAGCCAACCAATCTAAATGATACACAGACGACCGTCTTCAAGTAGATGGAAAATATACCATCATTGTTATGGCCGAATTTGTGTAAAAGTCCAGTAATAAGTTTGTGTTCTCTAAATCTCATTATACATGGGTGGAGTATAGCCCAGATCCAGATGAATGTAATAGTATTGATGCAATCACTGGATGGTGTTGTACATGCCCAGTTGGGAGTAGGTTTGTAGGCACAAGGGGTATAAAAGCAAAAAGAAATGCACAAAGTTTGACATTTTAAAATCAAGAGATTTGTCTGATATGTTGTCATCTCAAGAAGATAATGATAGCTCATAGAATCTCTTATTATAATTAACAAACAAATGAATGTGCTCATCAACAGTTATGTAAAGCCAAACCTTTTAGATATTGTTATATTTTTTTTTTCAAATGTTGCTCTTTGTGCTTCCTCACTGTGATGTGAAATAATAAATTCAGTATTTAATTGCCACTTTAAAACAAACTCTGTATGAGCTATTGATCTCTAAGGAAGCAGATCAATATATAATAAAATGATGATTCACTTGATAAATAATGATTATTTTGATAAGAAATAGAAACAGTGACAATAATGATGTGAATTTTCCTTGAAAATGTCATTTTATACATGTCTATAGAATTACCTATATTTTGAAATATAAAGGTCAGAATGACCTAATTTTCGGATCTGGTTATCAAACAAAGTCTATTCTTTGATATCCTGTACAATTTTTTCTAACTATCTTGGTGGCTAACATAGGGTCTTAAAGACACTCGTCCTTTCCAGAACCACAATTCAGCAGGTATTTTGTGTATAACGCTGCTCCACCTAACCTAGCCATTGAAAATATGTATTGACTCTGTGTCACTACCAAAATAAACCAATTTATATGAAACTCGTACAGTTTCAAGCAAACTCACTACCCTGTCTCATGTTAACATTTAAGCATCCAACTCCTCTTATCATAAAATCTAGAGCCAACGGTAAGAAACTTTTTGATCGGCCCTTGTAAACATTGAAAAAGCACGAGTGGAAGGGGATGAAAATAAGGAAACATTTTGCACCTTCCCTGTCTAGGAGTCCAAATTATTTGATCATCTATATGAGTACTTCTCCTTTACACCCCAGTCAAATTTGTCGTACGGTGGCCGTACGTCGACCGCAGATCAATTTAATCAGTGTATTTCTGCGGCGAGCGTAAGGAAACAACGCTCGCCTTGCGGCCTCCGAACGGCGTATCCAGTTTTTACAGGCCGCAGGGTCGCCGTTGAAATTATAACTCGGAGTTTCATTTCATTTTCATTTTCATTTATTTATTTTCAAACATCTGGTGAAACATACAGATAAGGCGGATGACACCCTAATGGGCATATTATCCGCACAGAGAAGATGAAGAGTTATAATATTTGTTCATTTCTGCAGTGCCCGTAGAAATCAACTGGCTCAACAAGATTGAATCATTATTTGTCGATGTTTTACGAACACTTTTCATTTGATATTACATCCTAGCACAATGAATAACTTTTATAAATTGTCCTGATGTGAATAAAATGAAAATAAGTATTATTTATCAACCAAAATTCGCTTTGCGGCTGTCATGGGAAATGTGACTGCAAAAGTATGAGGGCGCAGAAATTCTATGGCGAGCGTAGAAAAGCTACTGATCGCAGAAAAAATATAGACCGCACGGCGGCCGTAGGAAATGTGACTGGGGTGTTAGATAATGCATTGGCCTAACATATGCACATTTTTAAATCCTCAATATAGGCACAATCCAACATATGACTGTCAAAGATCTGTTGCAATACCTTTCGTGGTACTTCCAGGGATGATTCTCAGTATGAAAATCGAGAACTGACTAGTTTTTCGCATTCTGGGGAGATGTTAATGTGACCTTTTTGGATTCACCATCCTAAAATTGTGTCTATTGATTCTTGTCGACTCATTCTCAGGAAAGCCTTTTGACGGTTCGATTTTAAATTTTGACAGATGATTCTTTGTAGAAAATCTAGAACGGATTCATTTTTCGGCATTGAAGGTAAATTATGTCAATGCAGCTATTTTGGATAGTCTTGTCTACGATATTGCAAACCCCTTGGCAGATAGATTTCAAATTTTCAGGAAAGATCTTTTTTAAAAATCTCAAACTAATTAGGTTTTTGGCAGTCTGGGTAATTTTTTTGAAATGGCCACATTGAATGTTTTGTCTTAAAATCTTGTCTTATTAACTGATTAGTGTTTGGCATTTAGGATGAAATATTTGCAGTATATATATGCAGTATTCATTTTCAACACATCTGTGCCATTTATATTGCTTTCTTCCGTAAATATATATATTATTTCGGCACATGAAAATAAAAATAAAAGGGAGAATGCGCACTTTGGGTTAAACAATCAAGAACCCGGATGAAAATCAGCTAAATATGAAAATAATAAAATGCGCAACTGTTTCATCTTATTGCTTTTCATATTAAACATTCAATACTTCACGTGTAATGAAAAATGAAAGTAAATACATGAACGTAAAATAATACACAGACATGATAAACACAGCTTTTGGTTAATTATGTGCCAGCCAAGGAGATTGATGTTACCGCCTCTCCAATGCCTGATCAAAGTGATTCAACGGCTCACATTATTATGCTTGATGTTATTGGCTTTATTTTGAAGACAGGTTTTTAGAAATTGGGGGAAAGGATGTGTTAAAGACAGCGAGAGTTCAATGCACTCAGATAAAGAAAAACATCAAAAGAGTTCATACTACTCTAGTATGTATCAGTATTCAGTCTAAAATGTTGGGAGATACACAATCAAATATAGAATTAATGTAAAAGGGTCAAAATATATTTCAAAGCTGTGCTGTACATGAAAAAAAGCGAAACATTGTTTCTAAAAATGTTTCTAAGTCAACAATTTTAACATCTTAGATTACAATCTGGTTAAGAATTTTTTTGTAAAAATATCTCTTATCTAACCCAGTTTGATTGTTGTTTTGTACAACCGCTATATCCATTGCATTGGGTATATTAGAATATATACGATCCTTTTCGAGAAGGTCAACCAACCCCAGAATGTTTTCGAAAACAACGATTATGTTGATAACCTTTCACCTATGTTTCGCAAGAACCCTCAAAGATAATGAATATTTAAATATATATCTAAGAACAATTTAAAAAAACCTCATTGCAAAATACGAGAATCTAGACGATGGTGTCATGGAGGACAAGGAAGACATTGGTTTTCCTCGGACAACGTCGGTAACCGAAAGGTTAAAATGTCACTCGTGTGAAAGCATTGTAAGGTTACCAACATCACTGCCTTGTCTGCATGTGTTTTGCACAAGATGCTTACATATTCAAATAGAGAAATGTAATCTTAAAGCGGGTGTTTTAAAATGCCCTATGTGCGGTAAAGGATGCGAAGTGAAGGAAGAACAATGGCAGCATCTTAAGGTAAGTACAACGGATGTTTTACGATCATTGATAAATTCAAATTCTAAAGACTGCAACCTATGTGTTGATATAAACGACAGTAAATGTGTATCATTAGACATTCAAAACAGTAAGAGAGTTATGAATTATTTAGCGAATATTACAAATATGTCATACTATTGATGTTATACGTGTTCATCTTTCAATGATTCTAGCAAGGTGTATTCCCCTAGCCCTTCCAGCCCATCGAGCTTGTAGGATCATTGAAAGTGATACAGGTATTCACCGAAAATAGTATGAAATATTTCTTTCAGCAAATATATTTTTTATTATATTAATACAGATGGATTCAAAAACCATGATTAAAACAAGTAAAACATTTGAACGCTACAATACAGAGATTCAATTAAAATACATCAAACATAATATTACTATGAATAACAAAAACTCCACGAACTTCGTTTACAGATATTTTGAATATTTTCGATTTTGAATGCTATGATTTTCTTTTCAGAATGATGTTCACTCGGACGACCCGATCGACACATCCGTTGGAAGTGATAGAAACTTAGCAGGGGCGCCAGCCAGAGTAAGTATCAGTAGTTTTTTACGGGGCAATATATAAAGTTCTACTTATTGATAAAAAAAATTGATAACATATCAGTTTCTCTCGATGACTTTTTTGAAATAATTATGCTTGATGCATTATTATGCCTTTTCTTGTGAACATTGGCCTTTTGCTACTATTAAAAATGATGGAGATGCAAAATTCTTGTATGACGAAATTATTTTAAAAATGCAATTGAACATTCAAGTTTACAGAAATCATAAACAAAACGTTTCCCTTGCAAATTATGATACAGACCTTATTATTAATGACAAAATAATGTTCTATGATAATACGTTTTTCTACTAATCAAAGATGCTAATGGGAAGAAGTACACATGGTAGTACTTTTAATAATTGTAAAAATATGTTCATGAAATTTCAAAATTAAAAAATACACCCAACGGCCAATACTCGTCGCTTTTTCACCGTTTTATTATCAAGACTACGATTCGGTAAATTGAAATCATCATTCGTTAATATTTGAAGGTCTCTATTCAACGTCGATCTATTGCCTGTCATGTTAAGGAACAATGGACGGAATGGGACGAATGTATCCCCTTATCCAGAGAGACGCCAGATAGTTACTCCGGTTCGGATATTGACAACAGTAGGTTGTCTAAGAATGAGGTAAAATACTTTATGTTTATCACACGCACGTGTTTACCAAAGCTTTGGTGCACAAAACAAACAAAACATCTGTTTTTGCCAGTTATTAAATTTATTAAAATATAATAATAATATTACGTAACATATACATATGTATTACATACCTAGCGAAGCATTTGTATGGAAGTCAATGGAGCTGAAGGACGGCTATATATTCCTGTATAGCCGCCAAACTTTTTACCATGACAATCGTATGACGTCACGTTTCATTTCTTACATATTCCAATCGCACACAGACGTGTGATTATTGATATAACATGAAAACAAAGCATTTTTGTCTTAATGTAAATGTACTTTAGGTATGTAATACAACAATTATGTCTGTATCATTGAATATATGCCTTCGGTCTGTCGTAAATATAACCCTCGCAAGCTCGGGCTATATTGACGTCAGACCTCAGGCATATATTCAATGATAGGGACATAATGGCTAAATATAATATTACATAACAATGTGTGCAAGTTTTGGGAATATTTTTCGAGGGGGAGGAGGTCGGGAATGCACTGGCGGATCTGGGGGGGGGGGCAGAAAGAAAAAATTGTGCCCAAAAAAATTGAGCCAAAAAAGGCCATAAAGCCCCAAAAAGTAGGCCTTTTTGGTCATAAATTGGCCTTTTAAGGCCTTATTTTTTAATTTTAGGCCAAATTTTGAAGAAAATTTGGGCCCACTTTTGGGTTTTTGGGGCCCAAATTTTTTTTCGGCGCAAGCGCGGACGTTTTTTCTCAGAACAGAAGTTCGGGCCCCCCCCCCCCCCTTCTTGGTTCCCAGATCCGCCCCTGGGAATGGGTTGGATTTGTAATAAATATATATTTATTTTGTTACTGTATACACGTACACATACTTTAAATATGAAAGTATGAAATATAATACATCTAAAACCAGCTGACTGCAGAATTTATTTAATACATGTATACTGATTAAATGATAGCCTGCAAGGGTGTTTAGTATGATACGTTTCTTAGGACCAACCAGCCCTCTTCCAAGCTCCTCCCCTAAAATAATTGACAGTAATGTGAACTTGCTTAGATGAAAACATAAAGAATCTAATCTTCAATTAGATGTATATTTATGTTTATCACACGCACTTTGTGTAATTATACAGAATTAAATCCCACTTGGGTAGCAACACAATAGAATTTGCTGTGGTTTAGTTTTAAGAATGTATGGTTTTATCAAAAGGAAAGTGCATTATTTTTCTATTGTTTTTAAAGAATGTACACTTGGCAAGCTATCAAAAACAAGAGAGACTTAAATGACCATTGACAGTTTTTGATAGTTTTCATTTCCTAAAAACAATATACAAAAATACATGTACCCTTCTTTTCTTACTGTGCATTCTTTAGAATAAAACAATTTATCATTTTTTGTTGCTATCTACATCATTGATCTTATGTTACTTACAAATATTCTGCTGTATTCAAATTCAATGTTCTGGACTGGACAGTCACCTGTAGTGCATTGAATCTAGACTAATTATAGCCCACTCAGTCACTTACATCAACTCACACTCATGAGGTCAATGCAACCAACTCTTTTTGTTGTTACAATTAATTGGCTATATAACAACAAATTTTAACCAATAAGAGCCAGGGTCATTGTGAGCCTGGTTGAAGTTTGCAAAATTCACAGTTTGAATAGTCAATACAAAAGAAATCACATTTTCCCGGATTAAAGACCTTTTAACTGTAATATAATAGACCCTTTGCCTGTGATAAGAGTCTGTGTGATTTAAGTAAGATAAAGCATTCGAATTCGATTTGATAAGAAATAATAACCTCAGGCCTTCGGCCTTCGGTGTATCATCTCTTATAAAACCTCATTATTATGCTTTATCTAGTACATAATACAATTAATTGTAAAGAAATACATAAAACGAACACGAATAAGACTTTCTTGGGGTTTTAATGGCATATAGCTTTATTAAACCTTGTTAACTCTTGCCTCCCGCTATTCATAAACTGAGAGCAACGTTTCAAAATATTAAATATATATACGAATATACACGTCGAACAGTCATAAATTAAAACTATTTACTCTCCTTTTATAGTTAAATCTCAGTGATTGTTTATATTTTCATTTCAAAATAGTGTCTAACATATCGATATAATTTTCAGGTCTCTGTTAAATCTTGGGATGTTGAATATCATACCAAGGAACAATATTTCGAGACAGAACTGGAAAAATGCGACCCCTTATCCAGTGATACATCATGTGATTATTCAGGTTCTGAAATGTGTACGCCTATGAAGGAGTTTGATGTTAACGACAATGGATCATCTAAGAGTGAGGTGAATCATATTAAAATCCTATTTTAGTTAACTTACAAATTGGATTTCAGTTTGAAAATCATAGACATATTTTTTGACCAATACGGGTATGTCTATATATTTGGGATTATGCAATTTACCGCCCCTTCCTCGGTGAATTTTCACCTACCCACACACCATGTAGGGTCTGAATTTAAACAGCGTCAGCTTTTCTACCGATCTCATTTGCCTGGAGGCGTTCATCTGCTGCTCTTAAATTCCCCTTACAATAATGCAACATTGGGGTAAAAAGAAATATCAACTGTAACATCATGGTTCCAAAAAGTATTTGTGTTTGCTTCACACAGAAATCTAGGTTCGCAAGAATGTGTTTGATATTTTACCGTCAGATTATTTACAAATACAAAAAATCGGTATCATAAAATACGTCCGAAATGAAATACAACAGGCAACCTCCTATTGGATAAATGATAAACCTGCCCCAATTGTATTTCCTGGGGTGAATCGTTTTTCGCGATAACATGCAATAGTAATTAGAATTAAAATCAGACCCTGCATGGTGGTTGAATAGGTGGACATCCATCTAGGTAAGGGTGGTTATTGTACAATCCCTATTCATTTATATCATTTTTACTTTTAAGTTCCGTATATTACTTCGACATTGTTGTATTTTGTGATAACAGGCCTCTTAGAACTTCCAACAACGCGAAAGCCAGTTCTGACATGGCGAACTACGTTCCTTGCACTCGAACCACGATTCCCACATCGTGAACGCAAAATCTTTAACCGCGCACCACTATTTCCTTGTCCCCGAACATATTTCTCCACTCGCGCAGAGAGATTCGTAACCGCGAACAATTTGTACATTATACATCCGGGAGTTTCGGATTCAATGGTATATGCCAATATGGAGGACGGTGTCAACAGTCAACTCAGTGAAACAATGAAACGAAAACATTTCGATTGGGAATGTGGTCCGCGATTTAATATATCTGTGCGTGAGTGGAGAAATGTGTTCGGGAACAAAAATGGTGGTGCGCGGTTAAAGATTTTGCATTCACGATGTGAATTTTGCGGTTCGAGTGCAAGGAACGTAGTTTGCGAGGTCAGAACTTATGTTCGCGCTATTGGAAGTCTAGGAAGCCTATAGTACTGTACATAGTGTTTTCGAACTATTTAAATTAGTTAATTTAGGACAAAAAATCCGTGTGCCAAGACACTGGAAAGATTTGACTTACACGATTGATTGTAACGTGTGTAAACATATTTTTGGTATGTTGTTGAAATAGGTTATATAATGTTATTGTCTTTAAATTTTTCATTATCCTAGACAAATGAATCAAAATGTGTACTTCTGACTTTTTTAAATATAAATTCTAGATGACGAGGGACGAGGCACATGACGAGGTTCTTTCAGCAGAAACCACAGAAATCAGGGAAGATCATACAGAAGGTTGGTACATACACATTAGGAGACATTGTCGAGAAGACGTACACTGTATTGAAGGAATGAATTAATTAATCTGGAGATCATGTACTTATTCATAATTCAAATTGATTTGCAGTTGATTGCAAGATAAATATATCTTTACTACCAGCCTCAAACTGTAATGTAAAGCGCTGTCAGACAAGGAATTAAGATGCAAAATAATGTCACCATGATTTGTAACAGACGCCAACGACCGTCACAAAAACGGAGACCATAACAATATGTCACCACTTTTTGGTGGTGGAATAATGACGATTCGAATTAGGATGAAGCTGAATCAATCAAGCCACGTTTCTTATACCAACTTCCTTCAATTGCCTCGCTAACGCTCAATGGATGCTGCAGTTTTTAAACCCGAATTCAATATCTAAATCGGAACTTTTGAATAATTCAATTGGGTGCTGTATATTAAAAACATTTTAATAATTTTAATACGAAATCTTCATTTAGAAAAGTCTGAATATTGCAATCTTATTCTACACATTTGTTGAAATATGATTACAGATATGACTCATGTTGAAGCAAACGTTTTGAAGAGGAATGTACATGTAAGCGAAGCAGGTGTGTGCTTCCCGAATGTAACAGAGGGCGATATGACTGAACTTATAAAAGTTGAGCAAGATAAAGAGAGAAGTCTAGATGTAAGTTGTTTCACAACCACATAGCTCGGTTGTAGAGCGTGTACCTATTACGCATTTTTCCCGGAAAGTCCCAGATTCGATCCCCGGTTCAGGTACTTTGCTTGTTGCGTGAAGTGCTTCAGGGTGTTTGAATGAGTCCACGACTCGTATAAAAGGCTGTGGGTTTTACTTGTATGAAATATATACACACTACCCTACCACGTGACCACGTTTAAAAGGGAAACAGGGTACAGCTTAGTTGCAAATGGAGGACGTGGGTTTAATTCCATATTTCTGAACGTAAAATACATTTTACATATATTTCTAGTGTTCTACCAGACATAGAATTGATTCATCAAGGAGTGTGTAGAATATTGTTGGCAAAAAACCACTATAGGCAAAGATAGATAATAGTGGGCGCAGTGAAGCAAAACCAAATGCAATACACGATACATTTCAGTAAATCTATCAACGTACAGGGAGCATGTAAGTGTCCCTTCGAAAATGTTACATTGATATGTAACAAAAAACCCAGTTAACTGTTGTTTAAACTGCGTGTCATCGTGTTATAGGTGGATACGTTTTCTAGTATGTTAGTCAACTGTATTTTTGTGAATTTGAACAAAACATTTTGAATGGTCGGGTTTTTAGGACGGTAGTGAATTAGACCATTCAAGGGGTTCTATAGAAAGATTCTTCATATGTAGTTCAGGCAATTTTAATTATTCTGAGTAGCAAATAGTCATTAATACTGATAGCGGATAGTCATTTATCATTAACGTGTTGATATTTAATTTCGTTATTTTATTTCAATTTGATACCCTAGTAACACATATAATCTAGCGTTCTTGGTAATTTAATGACTAAAATGCATACGACTTGAAAGCCCGTGTCTAAATCTACAAAATAATGTTTACTTTATTTGGATTAAATAACAATTGATGACACCTCAAAGCATCAACAGGCGGCCTTTTTAGCATTACTTTCACTGTTTGCAACGTAAATGTACATGAGGTCGGGACATAGTATGTCTGTATAATCAGCTTACTTTCTCGCTCCCTGTACTATTGAACAATTTACATTCCTTGTACCCTGTATTGATCAACTTTTTGCAGCTGTGTACCGTGTACTATGACATATCAAATATTTTAAAATTTAAAACGATATTATTTACATTATTTCTTCAACTATCATATAACTTGGAACATGGACTTCACTATTGCACCACTGAAGTGTAGCGAATAGCAATATTGACTCACTCCGAGCACCAAACGTATTAACCTTTCGACTAAGCAGTCGATATACTCAAAAGCGACATGTTTGAAAGCCAAAAGATTCGCGCATCGAGGTAGGGTAGTGTGATATAGGTGCACATAAAATCACACAAGGCTCCTTCAAGGAGGGGTTCCTCGGTCTGCCTTCAATGATTACATGCGCTAATTATCCCACCGAACGAAGTTCGAGGGGGATATAGAAAAGCCGTTCGTCCGCCCGTCCATCCGTTCGTCCGTCCGTGTGTCCGGGCAATAACTCGAATACCGGGCAGTGGATTTCATTCAAATTTTATAGGCTTATGCCTTATGGGTGTAGGACCTCCGCTCGAGAAGGAATTTTCAATATGGCCGCTAAATTCAAAATGGTGGCCATTTTTCGGAAAAAATATAATCTTTGATAATTCAAATACTAGTAAATGGATTTGGTTCAAATTTTATATGCTGTCGCCTTGGTACAAAAGAGCCTTGCTCGAGAAGGCATTTACAAGATGGCCGCCATATTTCAAAATGGCGCCATTTTTTCCTAAAAGAACGTAACCTTTCATAACTCAAATACCAGTTGATGGATTTGATTCAAATTATATATGCTGATGCCTATAGACAAAGAAGTTCTGCTCAAGAAGACATTTTCAAGATGGCCACTGGATTTCAAAATGGCCGCCATTTTCGTAAAAAAACATAATCATTGATAACTCAAATACCAGTGGATGGATTTGGTTCCAATTTTATATGCTGATGTTTAGGGAAAAAGAAATCTGCTTCAGAAGATATTTCAAAGGCGTCAGCTGAATTTCAAAATGGCTGCCGTTTTTTATAAAAAAAACTCATACCATTGGATGGATTTACTTCAAATTTTATATACTAATGCCTAGCGATAAGCTTAGCCTAGCATCATATATATAAAAACATGTTTTGTTCGGTGGGATTTGCTACTCCCCTCACTTATAGGATAGGATAAATTGGTTATGTAATGATCGGTTTCCCTCAGGAAATATGGGATCACATTTCCCTTAGGATATACCCCATGCCGAAATCAACCCATTTTACACAACTCTCATATATCCCAAAAAACAATGTATGATACCCCTTTCCCACCATCCAAAAACCAATATCACATTCAAAGACCAGAACACCAAGGGAAACCGAAGTCATTGCAGACATGTTGAAAATGGAGGTATTACACTTTTGGAAGAGTGTCAGCAATCAAATACGTAACCATTTTAAACTAGTTATTGCATAAATTGAATATTCTCTGAAATATGACTGTTTTCTCTATCACTTGCTTATTCCATACCTACTGTATATCACACTAGGTACTCGCCTGTATGATGATGTCACTGGTTGTAGGTAGAAATCTGACTATGCAAAACAAGATTTATGGCTATTTAAAAAAACTATGAAATCATCATCTAGCCAGTATATCACAACATTTTTGATGGACCAATAAGTGACAGGTCTTAGTGGAAAGTTATAACATATAAAAGATCTAAAAAATTGATACAGCCAAACTCAGAGCATTTAAACAAATGTTGAAAAATCACATATGGATTGTAATAAAGTCAATGACTGATTATTGATTTCAGGTTAGTAGCAATATTGTAAGCAACCCTGAAGAAGACATTGACGATTTGTTGAAGGAGCTGAAGGCAAAAGAAGAAAGAAGACGAGAAAAAGAAAACAAAAGACGAGAAGAGGAAGATAAGATACGTAAAGATGAAGATGAAAGAAGAGAAAAAGAGGATGAAATTCTCAATACAAATCAGAAAAACAAACGACATGGTGAAGACATTGAGGTACAAGCAATATTCAAAGTAAGTTGCACGGTGGCAGATTTCTAGAACCTCTAATAACCTTGTAGCACACTATACCACAGCAATATTTGACCTAAGACTAGTAATGTACTCGATTACGCTGGTAGCCTCGAAGGCATAATTTTCAGTGATTTGGTGAACTAAACTATAAAAGTCATTTTTCTCCTTCCCGACCCCATTGGGTCAGCTAACCGAACAACCATAGCAGCCATCTTATCTGATGCGGACTCTGATGTTGACTCTAATGCCTCCTGTTTTGTTAGAGATGGTTCACCGGTATAAAAATAATGTGCCCCCTGATCATTGAAATTATGTGCGTCTCCATCTTCCAACTTGACATAAGTCCAACCGATGTCTAAAAGCTGGCTCTTGATGATACGCCGATTGAGGTAAAGATACTCGTTTACTTCGTACTTCCAAAACATTTGTTTCTCCAGATCTGTAGTCATCTTCTGGAGCTACAGTTGTAAATCTTCTTTTATTTGGAGGACTCTGAAATGTATGTCCCTTTGACAATCCTGGAAAATCTTCAGAAGTCATTCTTATCTGTCACCTGAGTGGCCACTTTGGGGTTATTATCTCTCTATCTTGTTTCACATGTAATTCTTGATTGGCCACCATGCGCCCCCCCCCCCCCCCCCTACCGGTCATTGCTGTGGGTTAAATGTCGAAGCAACCTCTTGAGACTGTTATCTCTGAGGAGTTACACGTCACTTCGTCTGTTACTCTGTCCTAATCCTTGGGTTCGATCCTTATATAACTACAGGACTTGAAGGTCGGATATCACTATGTAACACTGGCTCAGAGCGAGAAGTTGAACCTTGTTATACCGCCTGTAAGGTCTGACATAGGTTGTTTATCTGATCCTTCATCTGTGTAATATCTCCACTAATAATGTTGACCTGACTTCCCATGTTCGACATGTGTTCTTCAATGTCAGCCACCCGTCCTTCTATCATGTTTATGGTGGTCGGCTTCTGGTTAATTGCATCTATCATAACATGAGTTTTCATTTCTCTATCTACTGGTCTTTCATGCATGCCACTTTCAGTTCTGTAGGTGAAGTTATCATTGATGAGGTACAAGGAATTCATCTGCCTCCTTTTAATCTGGTTCCCCATGCTGGCCCCTATGGACTATACACACCATCATGCACTGTGCCCGACCAATAACCTGTAGTTTGTCCACTCCAGGCTTTCTTGAACTCTGTTTCTATCCCAGTCTTATCACTGGGGTACATTGCTCCCGCACCTCTATCTGTAGGGCGTCTCTCACTTGGATCTGACCCAATTGGCAGCTTCCATTTTCCGCCTGTGAAGGTTCTGAAACGATGTGATCCGTATCCTTTCTTCCTTTATATTGAAGAGTTTCATCCTTCCATCTCCACGCCTGTAGCTAACTTTAAACATACAGTCCTCAGTCCTCTCTACATCTTTAGATTTGTCTGCATCAGAGAGATCACCACTCTCTATTGACTTGGGATTTCTGTATCCATGATAACTAGCCTATTCGTAGCAATGTCTGCTTTACTGGACAAACCGTTAACTGCAATTCCAACACTATAATTCACTAGCTTGTGTATGAAAACTTCAAAATTGTTGAACAATCCTCACAACTTGTTCTGTTGGTAAATATATCTTCTTCAATAAACTGTAAAGTTTAATAATAACAAATATATTGTGGCGTTTATAAGTCCAAACAGTACAATAAATTCCAAATGCAAAGACTTTTGCTTATTTCGCTCGTTGTAGGCAGAATCTCCACGATATTTTTTCTCACACGCATATATCAGTATCATATATTTTATGAAAGGTACAGGTTTGCGAAAAAATAGCTCAGAAGAAAACAGAGTCGACGATTTAATTCCTAACTTAAGAGGGTGGTTTCCTAAAGCCGATGGACGAGTGCGCATCATTCATGCAGATCGTAACTGTTTTTCGAAATACCGTTTCGGTGACTTTAGTTAGGGATTAAATCGACGATTCCGTTCTCTTCTGAACTATTTGTTCGCAAATGTGTACATTTTCTTAATTATGATACTGATACACATTTGTGATAAAAATGTCGTGGGAATTCTGCCAACAACGTGTGAAATAAGGAAAAAAGAAAAATCGTGCCTTCGACGTTCCGACATTTTGTTACCGAAACGGTTACAGCGTAATCGAGTGGATCACCATTTAATCAACAAAGTCAAACAACAGTTCACTCTGTAAACGTCTAAGTCCACAATCTCCTTCCTTCCTTTTGTAATTGTATATTCAAACTTTAATGATGTGGAATCACCAAAGTCAGAATGATACACTCTAACGGCTACGTCCGAGTTCCTGTTCTCCAGTTAAGTGTATGTTATAACTTCAATGATGTAAAATCATCAAAATCCGAACAACATGTTCTGTAATCTGCTGTCTCCTTTATCTTCTTCTGTGTATAGATGTAAGTTCTAACTTCGATGATATGCAATCACCAAAGTCAAAATAAAACGTTCTGCAACCTGGTATCTCCTCCCCTGTGGATGTATTTTCTAACTTTCATGATGTAAACTCATCAAAGGAAGAATGATACGCTCTGTTGTCTGCTTTCTCATGTATCTCCTTCTCTGGGTATGTCTATTTCAACTTCGATGATATGAAATCATCAAAGTCAAAATAATCTGCTCTGCAATCTCCAGTACCTTCTTTCACTAGGTAGTTGTATTTTTCGAATTCAATGATGTAGAATCACCAAAGTTAGAAAAGTACGCTGAATAAACTGCTATCTTCTGGAACTTCCTCTCTCGATGCGTGTTTATGACGTGACGTCAATGATACAAAATCATCAAAGTCAGAATAATACTCTGTAATCCGCTAACTTGTATCATCTTCTATGTAGACTATGTATCTCAAAACAATATATGAAAGTGTCATAATATTATAATTCCAAAGTATCTTTCACCTCAAAATGTTAAAAGTCAAATTAGTTTCTTCCTCATAATTAACTAAGTCCAAGTTTTTCCAAATTCGGATAAATGTAGAAATATTCAATACGTCTATCGCTCCAACATTAACAAAGACCTCGTTTCTATGCAGCAAGTTCCCCATTAGAGCTGTCTTCTCATCCAGATGTCCACGTTTCCATCTACAAACAATATGAGCAAAAATCCTTTTATTGTATCTGCAATAATCTTCTCCTTGTATCTTCAAATGACTAAGTCCAACTTCATGTCAATAATTGCCTAATCTACAAAAACACAGCACTTAATTAAAATCAAAAATTTTACATTTAAAATTCGGTTACAATATATTCTGAAAAAATTGTGGTTATTCACCATGTTGTTGTAAAGTTATTAATTATTTCGAACCTCCTACTTTTGTCATGTGTGGGGGGGGGGTATAAATATTGATATTACGTTAAACGCTTTAAACGTTTGCTTAATCATTGCCAAACTGTGGTGAGGATTACAAAATAGGATGTAACTCACATGGTCTCCAAAATTTTACCTCCATACCGCAGTTTAAGGGTTAGCCCATAACCTATTACCTTTGATATACCGCATGAAACATCTGTACTAAAAAAATTGTTTTTAATGTTTAAATTAAATGTTTTTATAGAGAAGTTGGGGATTCTCATGGAACCAGACATGCTGCTTACAAAAAGCCATGCAATTTAGTGTGCATGATTCAAGAGATTTACAAATTAGAGTACAACGAACAAGAGAAAATGAAAGACGAAAAGAGGAAGACAACCGGCGTAAAAACGAAGATGAATGGCGAGACGCATATGATGACGTATGTAAATGTTATGCAATAGTATTAACTTATTTGGCAAACTGTCAATCGGGACTCAACAAAACTGCGTTTTGTATACAGATTAAGTAAACGAGGGTAAAAACTGGTCTAAGAGTTGAATATATCTTTAGCGCGCCACAATTAGACTGTGCAATAAATGTTTGTTTAAAGATGCATTATGCCTTAGGTGTTTCCCCCAGACAATTAATGGTGTCCTATTGTTATTGCTCATATAATATCTCACATGCCGTGGCTTTATCTTGAGAATAACTTTTGAGTATACTATTGCCGATCGGAAATAATAAACAGAACAACCAAACTCAGAATTAAAAACAATCGATTCCTCGGCTAGCGAGGAGAATCCCCATTGAGTCACACAAGCGCCTTGAACCAGGCAGCCAATCAGGTTTATGATAAACAAATTAAACGACCAATCAGATAACAGGACTTTCCCGGTTTATTCAAACTTAATATTGAATTAATTTCTTCGAAAATAATTAGATCGACCAGCACAATCGCAAAATTAACACTGAAAGAGGGGGATTTGGGACTTTTTCTTTGGTAAGTAGATGGAAATATATGTTGTGAAACTCAATGCAAAAAAGTCCAAAGGGATCCTGGGACATAGAGCTTCTTTAATAAGGGCAAATTTACGATAATTGATATTTTTGAAAACATTGCTTATTGTTTCTTTAAAATAGCCGAAGAGTGATTTTCTCGACAAAATCAACTTTTGCTATGGAAACTCGGACAACATAACAAAAAATTATGCATCAAGCCCATCGATAATGTCTTACAGTTAATAAAATATGTTTTTGACCATCTCTCAAAAGGGCTCGTTTGATATGTCGTTCTCATTAAAAACGACACGTTTTATAATGTCCATATGTTTTGTATCCTCCAACACATGCTCAACATATATCAATTTACAACAAATTCGATACAATTGAAAAATTATATAACAATCATTTAAACAATACATTGGATTAGTCTCATTTCTGAAAATAATTCTTTGAAATCGAATATTTGCATTGAAAAAATCTTAAGAGTTTGGAGGATTAGACAGCAAAACCTAAATCCACCACAAGAAACAATATCTTGTCTGATGTTTTCATTGTCTGACTTCTAAGAGGTAACCCTTAAGGGCGCTTTCTGGCGAAATCTTTAAACAAATGATGCATTAGCAATGTCAATTTAACCAATGTGTTGGAGGATACAAAATATTAGACAAATAGTATATGCAGAGAAAAAGTATTTCATTGTATTGGTAATACACATCTATCATCACCCTTATAAGAACTGATGTCAAACATGATTTTGATGTAGTTAGATAAAAAAAACATGTAACCTTTATCCCGGGGCGCGGCTCTGATCAGAAATGGAATGTTTTGATTTCCATTCTGATGCTGGTCTTAAGTTGTCCTAGGTCTCTTAGCTTGGGTTTGGCTTAAAAATGGTCCTTTAAATAGCCTCAGAAAAAAAGTATAGGTCATCAAATATGGTGAATAGGGAGGCCCTCACAATGTCTTATATCCCCCTTATACAGAGAGGTCAGATTTTAGTGTGGCTTTTGTGTGTATCAATTTGAGACCACTGTGTTTTTATTTGGATATCATTTGGTCTCCAGACTAGCCTGCCTAACTCTGGAAGGTAACTTGTGAATCATTTGCCAATAATTGACCTAATTATCAGTGTTTGTTCTGCCATCGTCATTCTCAAACATCTTTCTCTGTGGCTATTTGAAGGAGTGTTTTAACCCTAGAAGCCCTAAGGTAAAAACACGAACACATAAGGGGGAAGGGGGGTCAAAAGGGTACCCCCTTGTAACTTTTTTATTAGTGAAGCTAGGTATTCAAACTTTTTTCCACATATACTTCATTCGATTATCTACAACGTGGTGCAAAAACTTTAACAACTACGATGATGTAAAATTGCGTAATTATATTCTTAAGACAACACATATGGTAGAATTAATGTTAGCTTTTACTGATTTTGTCTATTGGAGCTGATCCCTTAGCAAAAGCGCATGGGTTTTTTCCATGCAAAGCACATGCAAAGTCCATGCAATCAGAAAAAATCCATGCGAGTCCATGCAATTCGCTTGGAAAGAGAAGGCTGAACAGAAAACCCATGCACTTATCCATGCAATGCCCATGCAAAGTCCATGCGAATGAAACTTTAAAAATTCCCCAAAATATATTTCCATGCAATCACCATGCAATTCACATGCAGCATGCAACTACCATGCAAAGTCCATGCAACTGTTTTATTATAGAAAACTAAAATCCATGCAAGCACCATGCCATTTTGCATGTATGCGCATGGACTACTGAAATCCATGCAAGAACCATGCAATATCAGACTGAATCCTAATTCCAAAACGAGGCTCATGCAGCCTCTCTTTCAATCAAAGCTGGCTTAGCCATTTTGGTTTTGGTAAGTCTTCACAAAATCCTATAACATCGGCCCTGATGCAGTTTTACTTTATTTGATTTTGATGTCAACTTTACCATTAGGTATTAGTTGTGCATTTGTTCCAGGTTCATCATCATTGTTCATTTAGTTATCCATTTTCTTAAGTTTTAAATTTCTTTTCAATATATCCATTGAATCTTTCTACCTTTTGTGCTTTGCCTGTTTGTTTTGATCTTTTCACCTAGAATTCATTCTAATCTGAATCATGATGGCATTATATCCTGGGCTGTAATTCAATATGGGTCAGTTTATTTGTATAGGTTTTACATAGGACATATACATTCATTAACTCCTTGGAGGCTGGAGAAAATAAAAAAGTTATTTGTAAAAGAATCTAGAAGCAAGAGAAGGAAGCAAGGCCCAATAAATTATATAGACCCATATTTTATGGGTTTTTTTCTTGAAAAAATTGAATATTATGCAAAAGAGTGTCAGGAAAATCCCCATGGCGATTTACAGGATTTAAAGGCAGAATCTAAAGGGGGTGACAAAATTACAAGCAACATGTATAATTGACCTACCAATCTATTCCTTACAATATCAAATACAATATCTCCCAAAAGATTCACAATATGTTATGAATTGGTGAAGTTATTAATGATTCAAAGTGCAAAAATGAGTGAAAAATGTTTAAATTCTCCCAAATAATAAGAATGGTAACCATTCTAAAAGAAAAATAATACATTATTGTAAAAATCTTTAGTTTTCCTGGAATAAAGTATGCACTTTTGTGATTTTTAGAAAATAGACATGACAAGGAATGACATGAGCCAAAAATATTCTAAAATTGAAACAATTTTTTGTTTAGCCTGCTCGCTATATCTGATTCTCTCTTTAACATGGGATTTTTGTTTTTGTAATTTTTTGCAATTCGTTATGCTTTGGACCCCCTATATCTTCATTAATATTATTCTCTGATCACAGTGCTTCAAAATTCAGAATATCTTTGCATTCTCTCCCCCTGCGATAAGCAGCTAGCATTTCGCCAATTAAGCATTAGGTGAACTATGTGAACTAACTGTAAATTAAGTTTAAAATCTGACCAATCAGAATGTGCTCTTGATGTAAATTGGATGTATCCTAAAGTGTAAACTGAGTGTAAACTTAGGTGTAAACTTAGGTGTAAATTAGCTCATTTGCATGTGAAATTGGTCACCTATTTACTGGGTGTAAAGTAAGTGTAAACTGAGTGTAAACTTAAGTGAAAACTAAGTGCGAACTGGATGTAAAGTAGATGTAAACTTAAGTGTAAAGTGGGTGTATACTAAGGTGTAAACTGAGTGTAAATTAAAGTGTAAATTAGCTCATTTGCATATGAAATTGGTGGTGACATTTGTCAGCTTAAATGCCTTATTATAAATGTTGCATTTAGAAGACTTCTGATCACATGGCATCCTTGACCTAATGTGCAGCAGAGGAAGCAGTACTATTATTAACTCTCACAATCTAAAACAGGTGCTCCTTGATTGATTGACATTGTCAGTAAGGTTGATACTAGTAAACGAATTGTATATTACGGGCAGAACAGCAGATGCATGGATGTAGCATGAACCATACAAGTCCATGCAAAATTGCATGTGGATTGCATGGTTTTCGTTAAAACCCATGCAGATGCATTCGATTTTGCATGTGGATTAACGTGCTTTGCATGGATTTGAATGGGTGCCGCATGGACTTTGCATGGATTTGAATGGATTTTGCATGGACTTTGCATGGATTTGAATGGATGTTGCATGGATCATGCGAGTCCATGCAATATTGCATGTGGATTGCATGGTTTTCATATAAATCCATGCAGATGCATGCAATTTTGCATGGACATTGCATGGAACTTATTAACAATATTTCTCGCAGCCTGCATGGACTTTGCATGTGGATTAACGTGCTTTGCATGGATTTGAATGGATGTCGCATGGACTTTGCATGGATTTGAATGGATGTTGCATGGACTTTGCATGGATTTGAATGGATGTTGCATGGTTTTTTTAAATGAGTTAAAATTCTGCTGCATGTGTTTTGCATGGGTATTGCATGGAAAAATCGCATGGACTTTGCATGGACTTTGCATGCATGCGGTTTTGCTAAGGGATGACTACATCATAATACATAAATAACAAATAAGTAAAGCTAGGATGTTCAAACTTTCCCAAAATATACTTCATTCAATTATCTACAACTTCAATTGTAACAACTATGATGATGGAAGATTGTGTAATCTTATTCTAGAAAAATGTTGACATGGGGTCCCTATTAATAATTTTTCGAATTGTTTGATTGATATTTTTTATCATTATGGGTACTTCACTTGAAAGAAAACATATTGTTTTAAAAAAACTACTGTATTTATGCCCAGAAAGTACTCGTGATTAAAGATATGACTATCTAAAATCACTTGACATACTGCACATGGAGCTTCAAGTCTCGAATTAAACCGGGAGTACAGTATTAATGTTGTCTTTAAAGGTAGAATTTAAAGAATACAATAACTAGCCCGAAATATTTCAAAAATTGAAACAATTCTGTCAAGAATGCTGGGAGAATTCCTCAATACCACTTTGCTAGCTCTTACACAACTTTAAACTAGCAAATTATACCTTTAGCCAGAGACATATAAAACATTTTATATGTCTCTGCTTTAGCGTAATTTTGAAATCTGACAATTGAGATATAGCAAATAAAATGAAATGTCTTCCAATATAAAAACAGCTATGGCTACCAAAATCATAAGATAGTGCATCTTTAAACTATAGTATACGTAAGTTATTGTAATCAATTTGAATTGCAGGTCTTGTCAAATATTGTATGCACACATGAGGCCAGACTAAATGCGTTGATGTCCAAACTAAAGGCTCAGGTCCATCTAAAGCAGACAAATGAAGATGAGAGACGCAAAGAAGAACGTTTATTAGAAGAAGAGGAAGAGAAAATAAGGGATGAAGAACGTAATTTCCAAAATTTGCAAACAGGCATTCAGGTTATACACAATTTATACCAGTATTATGTAAAGCAAAAACAATTAATTGTATTTCAAAAGTCTACTTTAATGTATAAAATTTATATTCCGGCAAGTAGACAGGGGTTGGCCGAAAATTCTCCAAAATTATGCAGTTTTCACTATTCTCAGCAAGTGACCCAATGGAAAAAAAAGTGAACCCCCTATGGCAAATCCTGACTACGGACCTGATATTTTTTCTTTATGATAACAGGGTAGTTGGAGACGCTCGTGTGGTGCAGTTTTCTGCTTTCGTCAAAACATCTCAAAAGATTTGGAGAGAAGATCAAAGGAAAATAGAATACGAAAAGAAGAACATTTAAATCGGGAGAAAGCAATAATTAGAGAGGAAGAAGAAAGGAAGGCTACATATACGGATGTGAGTTCAAGCAAATAGCTTAGAAATGTCAATATACATGTATCTGATCATTTAATAAGCAAAATGTTCTCATTCTTTTGAAATGTCAGTTTTTGTGTTTGCCATTTGCCATTAAATGTGTTTACTTTATACTGGATGCATGGCTTATCGCATTTCACACGTACAATACAGGGTGGTCCCAAAATTATATGGCATTAGCAGACATGCCTGGTTTATGCAGGTGTTCTCGATGCTCCAAGGTTCTCGATGACTGCTGCAAAGTGAATGTAATTAGTTGTTGAATTGTTGATTTTCCAGCATATCTAGGGTGTTTCGAATTTCTAATGCATTTTAAGTTATTTTCAGGAAAACACATTTTTCCTTTTTTATCAGGTGGCAGTTGAAGTTGCTCAAAACTCTTTTATCATATTCCTTAAAATAATTAAACAAGAACACAAATGTGTACAAAATGTCCTCACCAATGGGTGATCCCATCAAATGGTTATCCTTAAAATGAGTAGACAAGACTTTACTGACACAATTTGAGGACGAAAAATCCAAAATGGCTGCTTTAAAATTTACCCAGAATCCCCAAAAATTAGTTAGTTCTAGATTTTCATACTAAGAACCACCCCTGAAAATTTGAAATTGATCCGTCAAACAGTTAACCAGAAAACATGTAAACAAGATTTTACAGACAAGATTTTAGAATGGAAAATCCAAAATGGCTGCCTTGACATTTACCTTACTTTTGACCTTTGACCTTTGGTGGACTTTCAGTGACCATCGAAAGGTAAAAAAATTTGATTTTTCAATTACTGTTTTTATTCAAATTTAGGTTCATTTAATCACGAAAGACCTACTGAGGTCTAACAAAGTAAAATTTGCAAGGTCAAAGGTCATCAAAATAAATCACAAACTGTATTTTCTAAGTTTCTCAAAATTGGTGGATACAAATCTGTATCTCATACTTAAGTGGGTTTGGGGTAGATATCACCTGGGAATATATATCATATCTGAGGAGCGGGCAGGATATATTGTATACGTCCCGCTCCAGGCCAAATGCGGGCAGATATAATATATCCATCCCGCTCCCGGGAATTTTTCAAAAGTTTAAAAAAGTTTAAAAATCAAAAATTTTGAAAAGTTTTAAATTTTAAAGTTTAAGTTTTTTAAAAGTTTAAATGTTACAATTTCATCGTATTGAACAAAAAGAATATAACGAAAATGTTAAATATAAATTGTGCTTTTACTATAGGCCTATCTTGTCATTTGAAAAGGTGGAAAAGGTATATCTACCCTAAACCCACTCAAGTATGAGATACACAAGTTATGTACGGTCGGTTTTGGATATAGGGTATATCCCTCGGGAAATATTTACATCTCCCCTTGGTCCATTCGGTCCCTTGGGGAGATATAAATATATCCCTCAGGATATACCCTATATCCAAAACCTCCCAGTACATAACCCTTATATATTTTGGATGAAAGTCAGGATATATGTTCCTCTAACACATATTAGCATTTGATTATAAATAAAAATCTTGCACAGGTCAAATTTCGAAACTTTTCAAGTCTAAATTTCAATTTGCTTCAAATTGACCAAATGTTTTTTTTAAAGATAATCTACAAGATTTTAGAAACTCAAATGTGACCTTACTTTTGACATTTGACCTTTGGATGACATTCAGTGACCTTAGAAACATAAAAATGATTTTTCCAATTGTTTTTTCATTCAAAGGATTGGTATCGATATGGAGGACTGAATTCAACAATGTTTTTCTCTTAAACCAATCATTGAAAACATTCTGTAAAAACACGGTATTTTATGTAATGTTGACTGATTGACAACAACTTAATGCGAAAATTATTTAGAAATATTTTATATGACTGTTTTTGTTAACATTTTTTGTTTCTTTAGTGCAATTGTTTTTGCTCCTTTCTACCAATTCTTCAGAATGAAATTAAATGTCTTTCCGAACCTTGTTGGAACAAAATAGCATATACAATATGTTTTAAGACCTCTCAATATTATAGTTATACAAAGGAGTTTTTATTTGATTTTAAAAAGGTATTCAAAAAATTAAAACAAAATCCCCCCAAAACATCAAGATAAAAATCAAGATAAACCTTTTATTTCATTAACAAGATACATTTTTAAAATCAACCAAAATTTCCTTTGCACAATTACAATATTGAGAGACCTAAACAGGTTGTGTTTATGTCGTTTTGTTCCAACGATGTTCGGAAAGATTTTTCATTTCACTCTGGAAACATGATACCAAGAACAAAACAAGTGTTTGATGTGTTTTCTCAAACAATATAGATGAAAGTATATATATTTATTTCAAATTATATTGTTACCATTCAAAAGATGACCATGAGATTAACGATGTGTTAAATTTTTAGATTTTTTTTATTACTTGTTGAAAAGAAACATGTGTTCAAAAAGTTCTTCATATCAATACCACTCCTTTATGTTCATTTAATCACAAAAGACCTACTGAGGTCTAAAAAAGTAAAATTTGCAAGGTTAAAGGTCAAGGTCATCGAACTAAATTCCAAACTGTATTTTCTAAGTTTCTCAAAATTGGTGGCTACAAATCTATATTTTTGGATGAAACTCGAAATATATGTTCCTCTGAAGGTTCTACACGTATTAGCATTTGATTATCCATAAAAATGTTGCACCAGTTTTGAGATATTAGAGCTCGAATTTCAAAGCTTTTCAAGAACAAATTTCAACTTGGTTTAATTTTAACAAAGCTTTTTTTAACACACAAGTTTCTTTGAATTCTAACATGACCTTAGGCTTGAGATTTGACCTTTTGCTGAACTTAAAATTGTCAAAAATGCCTACGGGGCCTCCTTCTCCTTCCTCAATTCTAGTTTTCTTTAATTTGATACCAATTTCATAAAAATTGCTATGCATAAAAACATTTTCTGTTATCAACACCATATTTTTGTGATTACTATGGAAACGGGCGTTTTAGACATATTTTGCCCACTTTTCGTAATAACTAACAAGCAAATATCAAGGCTGGGCACTATACGCTTTCAAACGGTACCAAGTTCATTCATAATTATCATTCACATAGTTCATCACCGTACTAAAATAAATATGCTCATTTATCTAAAAATATGCAAAATAATGCAATTATGACGTCACAATCAATATTTAGATCAGTAACGGGTCTTGTATATCAACCTCTTTCTATCTCTAGATTGTAGGCGCTTATGCGTAATCTAGTGAGATGTTTTGCATTTAAAAGGGTCATTTCTGAATGGTGGTGTTCAAGTCCAAAGTGCGATTTTACTTTTCAGCGATCCTATGCAAATCGTAATCAAACTTTCATAAATTATTTGTAGCATGTGTACGAGACTTTCCGCGAAGATACCCCCTCAAGAGCCAATACCGGTGAAGGCACCCACACAAACTGTATATAAAATTAAAGCTCATTTAATTCTGGATAAATGCCAAAAGTTTCAAACTTCTACTCACAATGTTTGCAATACTCTGGCCTGGTGATAAATAGTCTGTATGCCAACTTGGGCAGCTTTGAAAGTTGGCTTGGGGATGATAACAGCAGATTTTGGAATATGTCAGTTTTTGTCTCCATTGACCTCAACCTTCTTGATATTCTTTAATAGAGTTGCATGAGAGTTACTGTTCACTGGGGATTCAGATTCAATTGGTTTTTCCGTGTTATCCATAACGATTGATCCAAGATTTTTGGCAGGATTACAAACTGGACTGTTGCTTGGGTACTCATCAACTCCAAAAAAGTCAATCTTTTAAGACTCTAAAAGTTCCTGAGTTTGACATGCCTTAAAACATTTGTTATGTAGTAGAGTTGTCGTAGATGGGTCAACAACAGTATCACATTGCTCCTGAGAATTGTGTCCCTAGATTATTCCCATGTCCATGACAGTCCTTCTTCTTTAATGACCCATAGCGGGCGCTTCGTTGTGAAAAGAAGGAAAAGACCAATGCAGACAGGTCTGGCCATTTTATCCTGTGTAATCATATCTTCCACATCCTTTCTTCTGTATGTCCAGATGATTAGGTTTCCTAACAGTATATATATAAAACTCATATGATAGCATGACTTGCAGAAAATCTTCCTCATCCCAATCAAGAAGGAAGTTAATAAACCATATTCTGTCCTCCTTTTGCTGCTCTGTTAACATGTTTTGAAGGGTTTAGCATGCGACGATATGGAACAGCTTAAGTCCTTTCCTTATCCAATATTGATGTACCCATTTGTGATAAATAGCCTTTCCCAGAAGTCTTTTGATGTCCTTTGCTACCTGCCTACATCTCTTTCTTTTCTTGACCTTTGAAGCTTGTTAGCAACTCATTCCTTATTTTTAAACGCTGCACCACCATCCCTTGCTTCACAGTATGTAATGCATTGGATTCGGGCCAATCATTTGTTTCTGATCATCATCCTAAAGTTGGTATGCCATGTTGACTTTTTGACTAAGAATGACTGAACTAGCATAAAAGGGACATGTAAGGGGTACATGGGAGGAATGCTAGAAACAATGTCTAGCCAATGTCAAGTAGAGGTAATTTGATCGAGAATTAAATGAGATTTAATTTGATATATAGTTTGTCTAGGTACCTTGCCAGGTTTTGACTGTGGAGTGGGGTCACAGCGCAAATTGACACCCTGTATATGGTGTCTCTGATTTAATATTGACATAAACAAAATACTGCATGTGTATCTCTAACATTCACGAGCATTAGTCTACTAACAAGGAAATCTGATCTTAAAAATAGATTTCAAATAGTGGAAGGACCAGGGGGTCACGAATATTTGACCAGATTTATTGTTCAAAAGGTAGGGAGATTGAAACATTTATTTGGCACCAGGGTAAGGAATAAGACAGGCCAGATTTTTTTGTCAAATTCCCAAGCCATGCCCGGGTGGGAGGGGGGGGGGGGGTCTTACGCAAACTTTTGAATGGTGCATAACACCTAGGTATTTTCATTTTTCAAACTCCAGAGGGCTGAAAATCATTGATCCTATTCGCTTTTGAGTAATATAAATGCTGTTTTAAAAAGGTTTTATGAATGCAATAATGTGTCATACTATGTAAATGGTACATATTCCTTAATTCCTAGAATTCTTTCTTTGAGGAATTCCCCATAGAAATCCAATGGTACTGTTCTAAGCAGATTTTGAGATGACGTGAAAGTAATTTTTTAATACACACCTTTTTTGGTTGCAATATATTTTGAGAAGTTTGAACAGAGAATACTGATGGATCATAATCTACCTACATGGTGTAGATATTAAAATGTTAGTCTGAATTTATCTATGTGTATTTATACAGGGTATTTCTTATAGATGCAACCCCCATACACTTATGCAGTTTTGTCACCCAATCATGTTATTTATCATTTAGTTCCTTATGGAAATTGACGTAAGATTGCAAAGTTTAAGAATCCATTGGTGTCCCTGACAAAAGATACAAAGTATTAAAAGCCATTTTGAGGGAAATGTATGGCCTTTCGAGGGCAATTTAAAACTATTGCAGATTTCTAGCAGTTGTATTGGAGATTTATAGCAGTTGTCAGAAGCAGAGTTCAGTACACACACGTGTGTGACAGTTATGCACAAAGAAATAAATATAGGCCAGGATTCATGCAGTGGCTTATAGGAAGGCTGGGGACCCTAATGTGACCTCTATCACTAAAAATTGGTATGAGACAAAGTGAACATATCACCCTACTAGGTCCAGAAATGCCCTTTAAATGACCCCATACCCGCAAACATTGATACATTGACTATTTCTTTTAGGGTCATCCCTGGATTTTTAAACTTTGCAATCTTATTATAACTTTACATTAGGAACAAAATGATATATAACATGATAGGGTGTCAATACTACATGTATGAGTTTTATCAACACATTGAGCGCTAAGGTTGAATAACCAGGATTATTGATATGTGTACTAAGTCTATATGTTATCAATGACACACGACCACTACTCTTTCCCACTGTTAAATAATCATATACGCAGTACTGAATAAGTGGAAATATTTACTTGCAGCTTTCTGAGAAAATGAACATCATTACAACGAATCAGCAACGTATCATAAACAAAAGAATGGCAGATATAAATAAAAAGAGGTGTGAACAACTCTCCAAACGGGAAGAGGGAACTGCTGTTGAGTTTCAAAAAATCAAAATGCGACAGAAACAGTATACAGATGGCAATAAAAAGAGGCTTGAACAACTCTTCAAATGGGAGGAGGAAACTGTTTTGAAATTAGAAGAAATTACAAAATCAAACAAATGTAATAAAGACAATAGAACAGACTTAAATAGAGAAGAAGAAATTCCGGTGAAGTTAAAAGAAACAGTAATACTGAACAAACAAAATGAAGACAATAGAAAAGAATTGAGTGAAGAGGATCAACTTGAAAAAATGGAAGAAAATATTACTGTGAAGTTAAAACAAAATGAAATGCTAAACAAACAGCATAAAGACCATGCAAAATACATTTCATCTAAAAATGCAGAAGAAAAATGGAAAAAGGGAAACAAAACACATATCAAACAATTAACAGAAATAGGAAACATTCATCGTCAGATTGGTGAAATAAAGGAAAACAAATTAGAACTTGTTAAAGCAGTTGCCATATATGAGTGTGCAATGGTTCACTGTCAACATGGTACAGAAGCAGACATGGAAAACATTAGGTTAAAAGAAAAGGAAACCCTCGATCTCTTTTTCAAGCAATGTACTGGCACAGGATTGCCAAAAAACTATTTTGAAGATGACCGAGAAAACAAAGAAAAGCTTAATGATATCAGAGATGAACTCAAACAGAAAATTTGTGAAATTGATCAGAATCAAGACATGTACAACTGTTATGAACCAGAGCTACTTGGCATTGAGAGAGAGAAACGCGAGAAAAATCGCATAGGTAAAATCAAAGAAATATTTGAATGGATCGAAACAAAAATGAAAGAATTTGTACAATCTTTGATACGCCAATGTCAAGATATATTGGACTTTCATCACAATGACTTTGCCTTCATAGCATTTGGTTCACTGTCAAGAAAAGAAACCACTCCATACTCTGATGTTGAATTTGCTGTAGTTCAGAATTCAAATGATCCTAACATGGATGGTGAGTACAGAAAAAAACTTATGAACATGATTATGACACTTCATCTTAAGTTCCTGTCCTTTGGTGAAACAGTCCTACCAGCCATGGACATAAAATCACTAAATGACAAAAATGACGAAAGCAAGGATTGGTATTTAGATTTGAGAAAATATGTTAAAACCAAACAAGGGATATCATTTGATGGTTTGATGCCCCGAGCAAACAAAACACCTTACTTTACGTGCAAGACAAATGTACCAGGTAACAAGGACTTCTGCTTAACAGACACCAAAACAGCATTCATGAAATTATTCAATGCTGAGGGTGACAAGGCAGTAGTGAAACAATTGCTGTATTTCTTTAAAGGAGACTTCACAACACTGTTTGGAGATGAATCCATTGAGACTGACTTGAAAAAGTGCTTTAAAGAATCTCCACAAAGGGAGAAAATTATACAACTGATTGTTGAGGAGTTGGAAGAAGACTTTGTAAAACACTCCTGCGTCAAAAAGATTTATGATGCCAAATATAAGAGTAAACTCATTAAAAAGAATCAGATACATGTGAAAAAAGAACTCTATCGTCTCCCTAGTGTTGTGATTAATAACCTACTTCATCTGATAGACAATAGCATAACATGTGTATGGGACCTTCCCGAAAATCATCCCAAATTAAACAGTAAAGTCATTCACAACTTAAAAATGACATTATCAACATCTGCAGAAATTTGATTGCGATGTTACGCACAGAACAATGGTCAAGTGGATGAGGAAAAGGGGAAACTCCTACCAGATATCCTTGTTGACGGTGTAAATAGAGAAAACTTTGAGAAAGAACTCATTATACGCTACTTCCTTTCTGCCATACCTCTAGTACAAATTATGGAGGAAGCTAAACCTAAAGCTGGAAAAACAAACTCAAGAAGCTCAGATGATGGCGAAGCTGGGCTTGAAGAGGAAGATGTTGATGAGGCAAAAAGTAGAAGGGAATCTACAGGGAAAGCAAACCCCGAAGGTGGCAATGTGAAAGATGAGCAAGATAAGGGTCATTATACAGAGGATCCGAAACCCAAGACTGGAAATGCGAAAGAAGCTCAAGAAACACAAGGTCTCCAATGCAGAATTGGAGATGTGGAAGAGAAACACAAACCTCAAAATATTGGGGTTCAACAACCCAGAGATGCAGATGTGGAAAAGGCAAAAAAAGCCGAGGGTATAGATAATTTGCAAAAAATAACACATAATAATCCAGTTGTACAAGATTCAAAAAACAGAACTGGAGATGTTATGGAACCGCAAACTAAAAGCGGAACTATTAAAGAAACAAAACTCAAAAATGATGACACAGGAGAAGCTTCAAATAGGGATAGATATATAGATCAAAAAAATATAGAAGAGTCAAAATCCGGGAATGAAGAGGAAAGACACGGTGACTATATTCTTAAGTCTCTTAAAAAGGCAAATTTGTATGATGACTCAAACTTGAACATAACAATGGCCTACCTACTGATGAATAAATCCGAGGAAGCTATTAAATGGATGAAAAAAGCAAATAAAGATAAAGAGTATATGCACAGCTCTCAAACAAGATTGATATTATATATTCTGTGCAACAATTATTTAGAGGATAACTTAAATGATGACAGTGTAAGTAAACCATTCTTTCACAATTTGAGAGGTGAAGTACTTGAATCCAAAAAGATGCATGGAGATGTCGAGAACACATTGGGAAATGTACTACTTCAAAGAGGTGGGGTTAAAGAAGCAATAGAAGTATTGGAAAAAAGTTTAGATGATTCTTCGATAAAAGACAGTAGCAAAATAACACTTCTATATGAGGCATATAAAAAGGATGGGAACGAGACAAAGCTTCAGGAAATGTGTGACAAATACCCAGAGATCAAAAAGGTGAGTAACGAATAGCAAACTATAATTGCTACAATAGAATTCACCTACAGGGTGTCCAAAAAAGGACCGTAAGAAAGTTGAATAACTCGGTCAATTTTGCATATTTTGCCTTGAAATTTCAGAATTATTTAGTTCATTCAATGTGAATTTTGTTTTGAAAGTTTGATAATAATCTACCAATTGAGTCAAAAACTACAGCTCCTTACAAAACATGCCCCAAATGTGCAAATCTCATCTCTATTCACAATTCAATCCGGCGAACAAAGCTGTTGATGATCCTCCTACACACATGTCTTTCTGAATGGACAAGTTTGTTCCAAGAACAATTGCTAGTGGGGCTTTCATTCTCCTGATGAAGTGTTACAACATCCATTGCATTCTGAACAATGCACTCCCTTGCACTTGCTATCACCATGAACAAGGACCAGTAAGTTCTCACTGAGTTTTGGAGGTCACTAAGCACCAGAAGGGACATCTAACAAGATAATTAAGCAGTGGTTTCAACAAGCCAATACCACCCCCACACTGCAAATGATATGCTGAAATGGTTTAGGCAATGCTTTGGTGGTCAGCTCATCAGTTGCAGAACGCAAACCATATGGGCAGCTCATTCACCTGATCTAAATCCCCCAAATTTTTATCTTTGAGGATTTCTCAAAGCCAATGTGTATACTGACAGGCCCCTAACAATCTTAAGAGGGCAATAACTACCCCAATATTTACCATCCACATTAATGTGTATAGGTAAGGGTCATTAACAACTTTGTTCGCAGGATTTGTTTGTGCATAGAGAGGAGAAGTGCCCACTTTGAGCATGTTTTGTAAAGGACTGTAGTTTTTGACACAATAAACAGAATACGTATCATCAAACTTTCAGAACAAAATTTACATTGAATGAACAAAATTATTCTTAAATTTCAAGGCAAAATATGCAAAATTGACTGAGTTATTCAACTTTCTTACAGTCCTGTCTTTTTGGACACCCTGTACAATGTCAAGTTCCATGCTATTTAATTTCTTACAAAATCATATATGTCTGCTTTTAAGGAAAATGCGTAGGACACTGTGGTTGAATGTGAATCATATCGTATTTATATTGTATTGTATCATATGTAAAGGAATGAATTATTACTTCTAGATTGAGAACCTGGAGAATCAGCTTAAAGATTCTGAAGAGAAAAATGCAAAAAGTGAAGAAAAGGTAACTTGGAATTCTTTTACACTTGGCACACTTTTAGGAGGATCCTGGCTATGGTATTAATGGTTGAGAAATAGGTATTAAAAGTATGAATTTTGGAATAAAAAGGCACAGCGCACCACAATGCACAAGTAATTGTTTTGCTAGCAATGGGGTTTTACATATCCTGTAATGAATACTTGTAAGTGATGTTATCATCACAGAGTTCACCTCAGTGCATGCTTTTAAAAATAATTTTCCAAATGTTATATAAACAAAATAATAAATTTAACACCAAATGTCTCTGTGCTAATAACATCACTTATTAGTATGTATTTCCGATCATGTAGACGATACCATTGTCGCTTGGTTTATAGCAAAAACATTGACTTTGGAGATGATGTTTCTTTTTATCTTAGAAGCGTATCAGTTCAGCAAATCGGTAGACTAAACATATTTCATCATACTTTCTCTTGAGCAAAAATCTTCCAGAATTGATTAATTTGTGGCTGAAACTGACTGTTCATTTTTTTGATCATCGTCGTAACCATTGTGAATGTTTAGTTTTATTGCAATGGCTTTTTGGATGGATGTTGACCCTTTGATATAATTATGTACCTCGTGATTTTATTTTGTCTGTCCCACATCATTTGAGAGTGAATGCTCTTTTAAAATTCACAGCTGCTTTATAATATATTCCCACAAAGCTTGAGCTAACATTATACAAATATTGAATTCTGTGATCGTTTAATATCTGTATATATTTCTTAGGGATGTATTCACCTGGCCCTTTGAGCTGCGGTGAATACACCTTCAGAAATATATAGATATTCAACTCCACATAATTCAAGATTTGTGTCATATTAGCTCAAGCTTTGTGGGAATCTATTAAAAAGCAGTTCCCCAAAAATATCTGCATACACTTAAGAATGTGATCAGGAATCCTGAGGATGCTTAAGTTCAAACACCAAGATATCAACAACTCTAATGAAATTATAAGAAGTTAAAACTAAATTGCCAAAATAACATTGCAAAATAATGCCTTTTGAATTGCAAAGATAAAGTTAAGTAAAGAGTTTGTTTATTCATGCTTACCAAACTAAAATCTGAAATAAAGGTCTTGTCACAATCTTAATATTTTTATCCATAGTTCTGAATTAAGTTTTATGAGTCATCCATTTCACAACTCAAGGGCTTCATGATGATTTTTCTATCTAGTGCCCCATGTTCTCTTCTTATTGTAGTCTCAAAGTTAGTTCTGAACTTAACTCTTAGAAATAATACTTGATACTAATTTGACTCCCTTTGGATACCCTGCTTTAAGACACTTTTAGGACTGATAGTCCTTGAAAATTAACATTATAAACGAAGCAACATGTAAAACATTTTATCCCATACTTGGACGTGTTACAGGTACATAAAACAGCTTTGGAAAAACTTATATTTTCATCAGCGTGCAGATATAGCTTTATGTCCCTCTACGTCATAATCATCGTTCGCATATTGGTTAATTTTTGTAACGCACACATAATTACTGAAAACAACAATGGAGAAAAATGCAGACAATCGCATTCTGTTTGATGGTTTAAAGAAGGGAAGGAACATACATATCCCTGTTAATAATCAAAGATTCAAGAAAATAAATGTGGATGTACATCTGAAAGAACAGGAAAATCGGCCAAGGCCATGAAAACAAAACTGGATATGAATATTCTAGAATAATTCCTCGGTTGGTTGCAGTTTTCTGAACTGTGGACAATTGAACAATGTGACCAAGAGTGGTATGGGATAATCAGATCATCCTATAGTCAGTTCAGGATATTGGGATCATCCCTTGGCCAGTATAATAATTCAGGATATTATATATATTATATTATATTGGGATAATCCAAATATCCTGAAGCTCATATATGATAATCTCTATGTATCTAAACTGTAATGCTCAGACTTAATATAAATAAATGATGATGAATACACAAATATTACTCTTATAATATTATGATTTTTAAATCATTAAATCATTAAAAAGCAGGCTATTATTGCTTCTAGATTCGTGAGCTTAAGGATAAGGCTAAGAAAAATGCCAAGGAGAAATATCAATCTAAAAAGGACCTTGCTGAATTGCAGATGGAGAGAGAGGAAGATTTAAGAAAAGTAAGTCTTGGATAACAAGAGAAAGTTGGTGTATGTCTGCTTAGATTTCAATTGGGAGGATGTTATGAAAATTGTTCCTGTCTTATTGATCGATTTTGCAGTATTCCAACTCTATTGGTGCTAAGTATATTAAGCAAATGATTATCTTTACTTTAATATTATGTTTTTGAGTGTTTGATAGTTTTTCTGTGCAAGTTATTTGACGAGTTTATAATGCTCACATTATGAATTTGCATCAATCAAAGTTGCTCATGATCGCCTTATGCCTTATACTAGCCCCAAGACCATATATCCTAGAGACCTACATTTCCCCTCCGAAAATACCCTCTGTCCAGCTTTCTCAGTCACTGGAAATTCTGTCATTCATCTGCAAATTTCGAATGTGTGTAAGTCAGTTTTAGCTCATGTTGGTCTGTACTGTGTTAGTCATTGCTAGTTCATTTGTTAGTTCATGTTAGTCACTGTTAGCTTGAGTCAGTTATATTTTTTGTGCTAGGGGATTTATTATTTAGCAGAACTTAATGTCGATAGTCCTGTCAATATATAGGTTATATTTTGCCCACTCCTTTCACTTCGACTTCCCAGTATAAAATCAATATGTAGAGATTTTCAACACGATGCCATCTTTCAACACAAAAGTATTTCCTAATTATCATGTTTTACCCCCCATAATTTACTTATAATGAAGTTCATAATCAAACCCCAAAAACTTCTTTCTTTCAAAAAAAGAAGATCAGTATTACATAATCACGAGATTAATAAGTCTGGAGATACAACTGGTCAAAATTGCTTAAACCTGCTTGAAAATGAGACACATTATGTGCTCTATTCCACACATTTTAGAAATGCAGTAGCAATGAATAAGTGCCTGTGAGTATAATCATCCCATAAATCACTTTGGGTACTGCTTATCAGATGTATTTGATATATTGAGTTTTTGACCATAATTGTTTATTTACTTTATATTGGACTTAGTTTGGCGCCCCTACATATAAGCTACTCTACATGTATATTGAAGATTGTAAATAAGACTTATCTGGTGAGTCCTTAATCACATTATTGTATTGAAGCAATTCTGCTTGAAGTCTTTCCTATAGATGTCACTTTTATCATGTAATTTGGTTTCCGTCATTAAGTATAGATGGCTCTATTTCAAGGTATATAAGCACAGTGCAGGCTGTGGAGCACTAGTTAGTTACTTAGTTAGGAAGTTTGTTATAGTTCTAATTCTGATTCTGATGAGATACCATGTCTTCTGAATAGACATTTATAACAGTGAAGACTGAAGACAGTCTTATATATATTGTAGAACTGAATATGATGATAAAAAATGGTAAAGCCGTATTTTAGCTTTATCAAACTAACATTTCTGAGCTTGTTATTTCTGTCCATCGCCAATCAATCTCATTATTTTATGAACCTACAGACATTGAGGCTTCAGTATCTTCTTTTTGTCTTATTCATAGCTTGTTTACTTTGTGACATATCGTCCAGCATGTTTGATTCACTTTCTCAAACTGCTTGAAGTTGAAGCTTGACCTTGAGTATATGTTGTAGAGACAGGCAAATGTCGTGTAAGACTGTCAGAACATGAGAAAGATGTCTCTGATTATGGGTTGACAGGGCACACAAGAAGTGTTAGGAAAGAAGCTCAGTCAATGTACGGGAAATCAGCAGCGTCAGGTGAACCATTTAATTGCTTGGGATAATGAAGGTCACAGAAATAAACGTTATATTAAAGAGTCAATTTACATCAAAAAAAGAAAGAGTGTATGAATAGAGACTCTGGCAATAACCAGTTAACAAGCATGTAGGACAAATTACTAATCAAGTCTCAAGGTCAAGCTACAACTGCAAGCAGTTTGAGATGGTCAAGTAAACATGCTGGACGAAATGCCAAAAAGTAAAAGAGGCATGATTAGGACAAAAAGTAAACATAATATGTGAAAGAGTTTTGCAAAATCAACATCAAATACTATCAATGTAATTGAGGTTTGCTCAACCTCATAGGCTAACAATTATAGACAAGTTTGAAGATGAGACTGATATTGTCACACTGAATTATGACAATAAGTAAATATTTATATACTTATTTTTGTAATATTTTGCACTGGTATAACCATGCAGAGTACAAGTATAATCACATATTGTATTGAAGCAAATCTGCTTTAAGTCTTTCACATAGATGTAGAAATATGTATTTTTGAAGTATAATACAGGGTTATTCTAAATTGTAGAAAGTTAAGTGAATGAAATCTGAATAAAAGATGGCAGAATTAGTTTTAATTTGTTTATTCAGCTATTTAGAAACTATCATATTCAGTATTATTCAGAGAAAGGTTGTCTTTTGAAAAGTAAACCATTTCCAAAAAGGTTACCCTGTAGTATTGAAAGGCTAATCAAAAATGAAAATCACCCTCTTAAATCTATTTATAGACAGGACAGTGAATTTCATTTAGTTTTCTTTTAACAATTTATCTTAACAGTATTCAACATATCTGTCAATTTCAAGAAAATCATGCCACTATGCTTGAGAATTATTCAAATTATCACATTTTTCCCATTGAGCTCCATTATAAAATTGCATAGTTATTAGTTAATGTTATAGGGATGTTACATTATGATTCCAAGACACAGTTGGTTTGTAAATCTGAAATATTCTAGGTTTGAGTGTTCAAAAGGATTTAAATAAAAACTATTTTGATTAACTAGACAACTTATAAACCTTTTACTTCAAAATAATAACACACTAGCTTTTTACTCTTTATCCTCTTTGCTACCCAGACTGAATTAAATACTGTATATATATTCCATTAGTTTCTGAGAATAACCAAAGAGAGTCAACAATATGAAAAAAGCCTTGCTGATTTGCAGATGAAGAGAGATGAAGATTTAAGAAAAGTAAGTCTTGTATAAGAATAGTATTCTTTACACAATGTATGTTGTTATGACTCCAAAACACCCTTAGTTGTAAATATGTACTGTTTTAGGCTCAATTGGTCAATCCTCGCCATATACATAAATAAAAACTTTACTAACATTTCAACTAAATACACCTCATATTGCAAAATAAAGACCAATCTCAGACTCTTAATTCTATTTCCCTTCAATAACCGGGTTGAGTGAAAGACATCCCTGTATTCATATATGTATTCTAGGTCGTTAGAAATACTAAAGAGAGCCAGCAGTCTGAAAAGGACCTCATTGAATTGCAATTGAGGAGTGAAAAAAAAGTAAGTCTTTTGTGACAGAAGAATCCTTAACACAATGTATGTTTTTATGATTACATATAAATAACATAACTTTATAACATTACAACTACAAACGGTGATCAATAAGTAATGGACACTTTTTTACACAGATACTTTTTATGATTCCTTTGATTTTCCTGCAAGTGATACATCATTCAATTATCTATCAATTCCGAAGATTTGAAGGCAAAATATATTATTCATGTTGATATATCCTTATTTACATGAAAGAGGTACAGGCACCCCAGGACCAACATTTACGTCACATATTTAGTTTTCAGCCAGTATGGCATATTTCAGTTAGATTTGAACTTTTTTATATGCATCAAGTGTTGTGTTGTTTGAAATATTTGCTGAATGGTAACACACAAATGGTAACTATTGTGATGTCAAAGTGTTGTATGGTCGGGGTTTGCAGATCAATTTGAGAAAGTATAGTAGAGGAAGGGGTTGGTGAGAGAAGGGAACACCCTACTCCTAATATGGACAATGAACCTGCCCACAGATCTCAAAATGTCCAGAATACAATATCCCTTGACCTCAATATTGAGCCCTTGGCCAATGCACAATTTTGTCCAGATCTGCCCACATGTTACTTATTTATTTCTATACTACTTATTTCTATAGAGAAGGGACGCAGGTTTATTGATATTGATGAAATAAAACAACCCATACAACTGCATCTTGCTACCACCTCAGAGAATGGATTTAGCCTTGTCTCACATTGTTGACTTAAGAGGATGAGGAAGTGTGTACATGTAGCACTTACTGGAACCTATGTAGAGGGCCATGTAGAATGAATGTGGCATGAATACCACACAGTGATGATACAATATTCAAAACCAAGTATGGCATAACAAAATGGGGTAATTCAAGACCATAATGGTTTGTTTTGTTCAGCAGCCTGCATTCAACTGCATTGTATGATAAACAAGCTAAAATAGCTTCAGAATGTTTGACGTCATGTCAGTCCCGGGGTACCTATACCTCCTTCACGAAAATAAAGATATATCAACATATATTATATGTTTTGTTTTCAAATCTTCAGAATTGATAGATAATCGAATGATGTTTCATTGGTAACAAAATCAAAGGGATTGGTCAATAAGAAGCATCTGTGTAAAAAATGTCCATTTATCACCCTTCGTATATTTATACTGCAAAATAGGTATTTAAAAGTGGACTGGGAGAGAGTTTATCGATTTTTAAGCCAGTAATGCATCAATGATTTCTTTTAAGTACATGTATGTTCATAAAACAATTTTGAAAACATTTAAATTTAGAAAGTTTTAAGGAAACCCAATTAAATGCAATTGGATTATATAATGAGATTTAATGACTTTTGACTGGAACAGCCTATGAAACAGTTAGTGTGGTCGTTATAACTTGATTGTTTAGTTTATTCTAAATTAATTGGCCAAGTCCCTTGAGCTGATAATTATTTTTAGTGTATGTCCTCCGATGAACTGGACTTTCTTTTGTTGTCAGGTTGAAGAACAAGCAGCAGAAATTAAAAAACTTCAAGAAGCAAAACAAAAGGTAAAGATTAAAATATTTAAATTTGAAGATTTAAAAGTATAAAAGTCAGTTCAATAAATTCATTGTAATGAACTGCATTTTTTATAACTTCCAGTTTAAATGCTTATGACGGTGATTGATATTATTTATGTGAGCAATGAGCTATTCCCTCTATTTTTTTCTGTATAGGTTAATCAAGACCACTATGAAGCGATTAAAGGATATATGAGAAGTATAAGCAGACAATACAGTGAATCCGTGGAACAAGGAGAGGAAGAGGTAATTTGTATACCCTCTGTAGGCTCTATATCCTCTAAGGTTCAGGAAATTCAAGAATGTGGCAATTTACAAGAGGTAAATGACTGTACTCCTGTAGTGTGTTTTAACACAGAAAATACACGGTGGTTCAAAAGTTGACTCATGAATTAACCCCATACTTGAAAGTACAAGGAAAACATGCTTAATGGTCAAGAAAATGAATATGACATGCATGAAGAGTGAAACCATATGGCATATAGAATTTCTTCTCTTAAGAATATGGCTTTATTTTTTAAACAACAAACTATCAACACTTGTTCTCAATAAAACAAACTAAAGCAAAATTCGATAAGGTTTCAAAATTTAATTCTGCCAGGTTGAATGTTTGGCATGTCAATAATATAATTTGGAGGAAATACGAGGCCCGATCAGAAAGTAAGTAACCAACTGCTCTCATTTTTTCATACTCTATTCAATCACATTGAAATTTTCACAGATGATGTAGAAAATATTAATCTATTAAACAAAACCAAAGAAAATTGGTAAACGTCAATTCCATTGTTATGGTGGTTGCTATGACCATTGTTCTGGGTAGGTGGGGCACCCTTTTCTAAGCGGCTCTTGGAGATAATTTGTAGAGTTTTTCAAATGCCGTTTATCTCCAAATATATCACACTCGCATGTCAGACTATCATGTTAACTCATAGTCCTTCAAAATAATTGCCACCAAAATCGATACATTTACGGCAACGTCTCACTCTGTCCTTAAAGACGTGCAATAGGTCACCATTCAATGACTGCAAACTGCCATTGAAAGCTTTAACGATGGCTTCATTGCTGTCAAAACGGATTCCTCGTAACGACATCTTTGCATTTGGGAAGAGGTAGTAGTCGCTTGGGGCCAGGTCTGGGGAATAGGGAGCCTGGGGTAGTCGTGTGGCCATGGGGAAGGCCTCATCTACTGCATCTTGGGTAATATGGGCTCTATGGGGTGGGGCATTGTCGTCGTGCCAGTAAAATCTTCCTTCAACCAAATTTGGACGTTTCCGTAACATGGCTTTCTTAAGATTTCGCCTCAGGACCTGAATGAAGATATAAAGTACACTAAGATCACTTTGTTTGGTGAATGGAGTTTATAATGATGTAATGAATATGTTGATGTTTACATCTTTATCATTTTGATTACATTTGTATAATACTAACCTTGGAATAGTAAACAGCATTCACAGTTCTACCATCAGGGACAGCGTGATTAAGAATCACACCCTTCGCATCAAAGAATGAAATGAACATTTTCTTTGTCCCGGATTTTTCAACCCTTGCCTTAATGGGTCGCCCCCCTAGTCCCTCACCACAGTACTGGCTGGATTGAGACTTGAGTTCAGGATCATATTGATGGACAAGAACTTCATCTGCTGTAACAATTTTCTCGAGGAAAGCATCTCCTTCCTTTTCAGCCTGATCAACAAAGTCCACTGACATTTGCAGCCTTGTGTTCTTCTGATCTTGCGTTAACAATTTTGGCACCCATTTAGCAGCTTTGCGCTTGTAGCATAAGTCTGTCACTATGACCTTTTCTACAGTTCCATATGATTCACCCAACTTGTCTGCCAGCATCCTAATGGTGATTCTTCTATCCTCCTGAATTAGAGTGTCAACTTGCTTTATTAGATTTTGAGTCCGCAGCAATGGTCGTCCTGATCTAGGCGCATCGTCGCAGCTTTCAAGTCCTTTTGAAAAACGATCATGCCACTCATAAATGGCCATCCGGGACATAGTATCCTTTCCATAAGCTTCATTAAGCTTTTTCAATGTTTCTTGCCGAGTATGCCCCAGCTTGACACAAAATTGGATACATGTCCTTTGCTTTACCTTTTCATCCAATTTCATGTTAATGTTCACCCTTGTGTGACTGGATTGAAACTGTGACTGAACCGTGACCATCATTATGACATAACATACCTTGATTTCTTTGTGTTGATGACTCATAAATGAGACAATGGAACATAGTTACCATGGTGATAATACAGAAAACAAATTATGTAGTTTTGCATGAAAATGTGAGGGCATTTAGAGGTATATAGCATGTATACAGCATGTAGAAAAATTCTACAAATAATCTTCAAAAGCTGCTTATAAAAGGGTGCCCCACCTACCCAAAACAATGATCAATGAGAATGAAAAAATGAGAGCAGTTGGTTACTTACTTTCTGATCGGGCCTCGTAGATTCATTAACATGATTAAAGACTGCATCTATAAACTTGACAGCCAATGCACATGTTTGAGAAATACATTTTCTATATTGGAATATAAAATATATTTAAATTTTTGGACTACCCTTCATGTATGTATGATGGAAAGGATTGATAAATATTTCCCAATAAACAATATCATACAATATTATTGTATCTGCAATAAGCATAAACATCTTATGAAGGTTTTGAGGAGATATATTTTATTATTCTTCATTTTTAATAAAACTTACACAACCAACAGACCTTTCAAATAATGATCCAGTAATAAACCTTTGTTTTTTTAAATTTAGGGAGAACCTGTTACAGAGATATAAGTAGACTCATGGAGTGCAAGAAAACATGTCTACTTGGAATCACAAAATTTGACTTGTACAAAGTGAGAGACAAACATTAACAAAAACAGTCCGTAAACAGACTTGTAGGGGATCTTGCAATCTAATACACACTCATCATCAAATAAACTGAACTGTTGCAGACTTATGCTCGTAATATTTAGAAGGCTGTATCAGAGGATTGGTGCTTGCTAAGAGGATATTTCACTGGTCAGTATCAAGCAAAGCTAGCAGCTGTAACCTTTGCATCTAAGATGGTGGACAATAATTGTTGATTTGATGAAAGGTCTGTGTCCAGTAATACCTGGTGTACCGGAGGAAAATATATATATACAGGGTAATCATTAAGAGCTGGGAATTTCAAGATTTCTCAACCATTTAAGTTGAAAGTTTCAAAAGGTGTACATTTTGTAATTCTGAATTGACAGGGTTTACGAAAAAGACCGACCCCACCGACCACCGACCGGTCGGTGTTTTCCACTGGTAGCCTCAAAACAGGGTTTGAAGAAAACGTGTAAAAGACCGACCATATCATGTAAAAGACCGAACATATTTGTAGCCTTCAAATCTTAATAATTTGATTTTGAATGTCAATCGGTGGACTAGGCAACGTTTTACCGATTTTGTACCTTGCAACGAATGGCAAGCAAACAAATTGGGCATGACCATCTCCTCTCGCTTAATTGTCCTGCCTTAGGTCCTAACCTATCATTAACCAACCTATCGTTTCTTTTTGTGAAATTTAACAATTTCGAAACAAAAATGATTTGTTATCGTCATAGCCTACTGAATACTGAACACGATATAATGTTACATGCGTTCTCTTATCGGGATTAAAAGTGACTTACCATTTCAGTACACCATTAGAAAGCTTTTTTGTCATATCAAATGTTGTTTTTACCAGTTGACATTTAACAATCAAACATAACGTTACGATGTCAACATCGACGATGTTTGTGTGATTTTGTTATTGCGTTTCATTTGAATGAACTTAATGCAATGTTACGTGCGTTTTTTCTAATTTTTTCAAAGTGACTAACCAGGATGAAATTGGTCTTCTAACAACTGAAACATCACTTAAAAATATGACATTACACACCACGACGATGTAACGTTTTCATTGTGATTTGAAATGATTAATTATACGTTTTTAAATCACGACCTAGTAAAGGTACTATAGTCATTGGATTCCCAGTTTTAGTTTTACTTCTAATTTTGCATTTTTTCATCTTTATGTAAAAGACAGTCAGCCGACCACCGACCACATGTACCCAACTGTGGAGAGTGACTGGTCGGTGGTTGGCGGTCGGTGTTTTTCGTAAACCCGAATTGACAGGCAATGTTTCATATAGGCTACATATCACATCTACAATTTATTTAATTGTAATTACAAGAAGGTAAAAGTGGTCCATTGGTCAGCAAATTTTGACTGATGTTTATCTGAAAATTTCCAGCCAAAACATATTCATCTTGCCTAGATGGTTGCTTCCAACTTCTTGTACTAGAGGCAGAACAGTACTCTCAAAGTCATTTATTCAGAAGTATTCTTCATTTCTGAGATGATCATTTCATTTATAATTGTTTCTATTAGCCTGGACGCACATGCATTGTTGACAAACTTAGTCCATAAAGATGCGTTCCAGTCCTCCTTCTGGTATCCTTTGAAGATTTGCTCAAGCTGTTGAAATCAGTCCCTTATCAGAAGTTTATGACCTCTCATATAAAGCAGCACCCAAAATGTAGTGAAGCCCACCCAATGGTCCTTCATCAGGTGAATATTGTCTGGTTGACAGTAATATGGGGCAGAGCCAAGGACACTCTTATATAACAATACAAATGTTAATACAGAAACTAAAGTTAAAAGTATTTGAGAATATGAAGAATCACGGAAATATGTCCACCAAATAGGTGGATTTATTAACCATACTTTTGGATCAAGAAAAATTTGAACTCATTTTTATTTTACTCGACCCGCTATGCCATTTGTCATGTTGCTATAGTGACAACAATTATCCATTGTGACATCAGATGACAATGAGACTCTTTTATCCAACCCAAAATTACATTCCCCATTTACCTTGAAAATTTCAAGTAAATTGGTTGAAAAATAATAAAATACCAGATATATTCCCAGGACTTAGTGATCACACTGTACATGTATATTAAAATCATAAATAAAAATGTTATGGTCACACCCTGTATACTGAAAGAACCTATTTTAATGGCATATGTTTTGGATGGTTTTTCAACCAAAAATGATACATTGAAACATAAAAGTGTGCTACGTTTGATATGCCGTCACCAGAGTAAAATATGGATTTAATATCCTATTGTATGAAATTAAGGAAATGCTGTCTGACTATACTGACTTGATATCGTCCTGTAGTGTACTGCACATCTTCATTATCTATCATCGTATAAAATTATTGAACATAACATAATAAATAAAAATAAAATAGTACCATGGGTACTGCGGTCATTTTGAATCTTTGCCACATATTTTCCCAAAACATGTAGACATTGTTTATAAGCTAAAAATAAAATTACCTGTGCAATTTCAAGCAAATTAATGGAATACAGATGCTGAAAATTATATTTTTATGCAACAAAAGTGGCGGCCATTTTGAATCTTTGTGACTTTCGAAACTTGTAGACCTTATTGATAACCTATAAATTAATGTATCTGTACAATTTAAGAAAATTGGTGGAAAACTTGTGGACTTCTAATCAAAAAGAGCTGAAAACCTGATTTTCTGGAGCAATTGACAACCTAATATACACACATTTTAAAAGTGAAACCATTCCAATTGTCATGGAGAAATGTGTTTTTAGACATCCGTTAAATAAATAGATGTAATACCAACCATATATTGTAATGGAAAATGTGTATTAAAACATCCCTAAAATTAATGCATATAATACCAACCATATAGTGTAATGGAAATGGTAATTAAAATAAATCTTAAAATAAATGCATGAAATACCAACTATATATTGTAATGGAAAATGTGTATTAGAACATCCCATAAAAGTAATGCATGAAATACCAACCATATATTGTAATGGAAAATGTGTGTTACAACATCTGTAAAATTAATGCATGTAATACCAACCATATATTGTAATGGAAAATGTGTATTACAACATCCCATAAAAGTAATGCATGAAATACCAACCATATATTGTAATGGAAAATGTGTGTTACAACATCTGTAAAATTAATGCATGTAATACCAACCATATATTGTAATGGAAAATGTGTATTACAACATCCCTAATATTAATGCATGTAATACAAATTGTATATTGTAATGGAAAATGTGTATTAAAACATCCCTAATATTAATGCATGTAATACCAACCATATATTGTAATGGAAAATGTGTATTACAACATCCCTAATATTAATGCATGTAATACAAATTGTATATTGTAATGGAAAATGTGTATTATAACATCCCTAAAATTAATGCATGTAATACCAACATATATTGTAATGGAAATGTGTATTTCAACATCCCTAAAATTAATACATGTAATACCAACCATATATTGTAATGGAAATGTGTATTACATCATTCTTAAAATTAATGCATGTACAGAGAGGGCCAAAAAAGTAACCCAAACAATTGTATGTTAATAACTCCGTCATTCAGCATATGTTTAAAATCATATTTTGCACCTTGATCACTGTTCTTTATCTTTACTGTCATTGGTCTATCGCTATTAGTCACTATTTCATGGTAATATGCAAAACATGCCCAAAATGCTGAAATGTGCCTCACTGACTTGATATAAATCCCATCAGATTTTAATCTGTGGGCCTACTAGTATTTACACTAACAGCCCTTGGAACATTGAAACGAGAGATTAGAAGAAAGATGAGAGCCATAACATAAGATGTTTATGCTCGTATTGTGAACAGCTGTACCAATACATTCAAGTTGCGCATATTTTATGCATGTCTCGTTAAATGGCCAAAAAATCGTGAACATTAGCGATAGACCAGAAACTTGGGAGGATGACAATATGTAAGATAAGGCCCAATTGTGCAAATATGACACTTAACCCATGTAGGATGACTTGAGTTATTGAGATTTGTTTGGGTTACCTTTCTTTGGCTCACCCTATAATACAAACATATATTGATGAAAAATGTGTATTACAACATCCCTTAAATTAGTGCATGTAAAACCAACGATAATTTGTAATGGAAAATGTCTACTACAACATCTCTAAGATGAATGCATGTAATATAATTGTATATTGTAATGGAAAATGTGTATTACAACATCCCTAAAATGAATGCATGCAATACCAACCATATATTGTAATTTAAATATGTATTAAAACATCCCTAAAATTAATGCATGTAAAACCAACAATAATTTGTAATGGAAATGTGTTTTGATATTTTTATCGGCCCACCCTGTATATTGTAATGGAAAATGTGTATTACAACATCCCATAAAATTAATGCATGTAAAACCAACCATATATTGTAATGGAAATGTGTTTTGATATTTTTATCTGTAACATTTTCACAAATAATCATTTTACCATTATCTGAATTTTTGTGGATTGAACTGCAATAATAAAGAAAATTGAAGAAAGGGAAAAATGTTCCAATTTTTATTTGCCCACCCTGTATATTGTAATGGAAAATGTGTAGTATAACATCCCTAATATTAATGCATGTAATACCAACCATATATTGTAATGGAAATGTGTATTACAACTTCCCTAATATTAATGCATGTAATACAAATTGTATATTGTAATGGAAAATGTGTATTACAACGTCCCTAAAATTAATGCATGTAATACCAACCATATATTGTAATGGAAATGTGTATTACAACTTCCCTAATATTAATGTCGCGACCCTCGTGTGGTAGCGTGGTTTGAGGGTCGTAAACAGAATACAGTCTAAAAGTCAATAGTTTGATTTTATGTTTTCATTGACTTAGTTTTGTGTTAAGTGAAAAGTTGAAATGTATATCCACTATTTAATTGAACAGATCTGCATTCACAGCATCATAACAAAATATGGTAAAGTGGGATAAATATATAGAGGATAAAATGGAATAATTTTCTGGGATAATATGGACGGGATAACAATATCTAAGTATAGGCTAAGTAAGATGTGTCAGTGTTCAAAGTAAGTCTTATATTTCCTAAGAGCAAATGGCAACAAACTCAAGATTCTTAATATGCCAAGTGATACGTTGTATTTAATAAGCGAAAAGTTAGGACGTGAATATAACCAGTTGGAAGTCAAGTTTAAGCTTTTCGAGGGCTACGAACGACTTTGAAGCTGTATGCAAAGCTCACTGTTCACAATTAAAGTGGGAAACTTT